AGGTGATAATACATTTTTGCTGAGTTTTTAATATTTAAAATATTAAAAAACGTTATATTTAAAACATCTTATAAAAGAGTGATTCATTTTTAAGTTGTTTTCCCTAGCCTACATATTTGTCACCTTTATGCAGAAGCACATTGCAAACAAAGTCTTCACTTCTACCTCTCTCAACTAATATTCCAATACTGAGCTGTGCCCCTAAATATTTGCCTTAGCTACTTCAAAATATGGTATTTTCAGAACCAAAGGAAAGGAAGGTCTTGTTCACAGAAACATTCTCAAAGGCCTGCTTTACAAAATTGGTGGCTAAGACCTTGCAAAAGTTTCTCAGTTGCAGGTATTAAATACTGAAAAGTGATGGCGTCTGTGCCAGCTTTCTCTTTGAAAGCAGTTGCATGTGCATATGTTCAGGTTATTCAGTCTTTCCAGAACAATTCTATCTTGACATACAGTTTCTTGAGGAATGTCATGATGGGATGCCTACATTACTTTGTACCAACAGATCCTACTTAATTTGTTGGTTTATCCTCTTTAAAGAAATGAGTAGTTGAGGTCTACTTCAGAGAACCAATTTAAAATTGTTTTCGTTAGTTACAAAATGCCTTGCCTTAAAAGATCTTAAGCACATTTTCTTTATATCTGAGAATTTAAATTGCTGATTTTTATTCCTAACCTTAGAAATAAACCACTGCTTAAATATGCCTGACTGTTGCAAGATTGATTAGATATTTTAGGCTTTTGCATTTATGGAAATAGGGACCTTTTAGAAAATTATAACATCTGTAAAAGAGTTCTTTTTTCGATGGGGGTTGGGGCTTTTTGTTTGTCTTTGGGTTTTTTTGGCAATACTGAGATTTGAACCCAGCCTCGTGCTTACTAGGCAGGTACTCTACCAACTTGAACCCCACCCCAGCCCTGTTTAGCTTTAATTATTTTTCAGAAAGGGTCTTGGATTTTTGCTGAGGACCAGCCTCCTACTAACATCTTCCTGTGTAGCTGGCACAGCAGGTGTGCAAACCACACCTGGTTTGTTGGTTGAGATGGATTTGCTGGCGTCAAGCCTCTTGATTGGGAACCTTCATGATATCTGTCTCCTTAGAGTAGTTGGGATTACAGTGTGAGTCATCTCACCCAGTCCTGGTTTCAATTTCACTGCTGGTCACAAACTTGATCCTCCTGCCTCAACTTCCCAGGTACTGGGATTACAGGCAAGAACCACCACTCCCTACCCATAGATTCTGTTCTTAAAATATCTCACCAGTCCCAATTTTATGTAAACAAAAACAGTGTTTCCCACTGTTGTGCTTGCTTAATGATGTTTAGGAATTCTTCATTGAGAAAATTAGAAAACTTTTGTTATTGGAGGAACCTTGACTTGGTATTTCTCTTGATTCAACAGTTGTTCCCTCAACTATAGGGGGGAAGGCAATAGGATTCACTTACCACATTTACACAGGTGAAGGATCAACAGATCCTCACTCAGAAAACTTGGAATTAACTGAGTTGAAGTCTGTGTCCATTTATTTAAGATATATTGATTTAAACAGATTTTTACACTGGAAAAGCAACACATTGTGTCCCTGTCCTCCTACTGTATTGTTTTGATGTTAATGTTATAGAGAATTCTCAGGTATATTTATGTTTACCATCAGTGGGCAGTTTGTGGTAAGCTTGACAGTTCAGAAGTTTGCTTGTTTTGTAAGGAGTTTTGCTGGAAACAACTGTCTTTATAATTAGGATGGAACTGAAGTGCTCAGTGTTTTGGCTCTGATACCACGCGTTCAATTCTTTACTACACTATTTGAGCCCAGCCAGCTTTTGCCTCCGTGACTCTTCTATTCTCTAAGTTGCCACATCTTTTCTGCCAGAAATGAATTTTAGGTAGGTGGATGTATTGAAGGGTGCATGGCTAGAGCAGTTCTTTTACCATAAGGTGATTTAATCCATTCACTGTGACCCATGAATATCAAAAGTAAATCCTGAGGGCTAATTTCCTTTGCGAAGCCTCACTTAAAATCCTGCCTATTGAGACATCCATTTAGTAGTTTAATTTGAAGTAACAAGTATATTTCTGTTTTTAAGGTGTGTTTTTCAAGAAACTTCACTTGGTTAGAAAAACTTCATATTCATTCCTCGTGAACAGTAATGGGGATTTCATTTTCTGAATGTACTCAGATCTTATGGATAATTAATTGAATGGGATGATTGCTGCTAGAAAATCCTGAACAGGAATATGTGTATACTACCATGAATTAGTCATTGAATTTCAGCTTCTTGGTATCTATATAAGGAATTATTAATAAAATTTGCTTATTGACAACATAAATCCAAGGCTCTAACATGTCTTGTTAAGTTAATGTGAATCAGAAATAACCATCAGTCGCCAGGAAATGGGGGAGATATGGTCTCTGATGTAACTGAATTTTTTAATATATGTTTCCTCCTCCAACATCAACTCCCAAAACAGCATAGGGCCTCACTAACTCTCATGAGGGTTTTTATCATTGCCACATAAGTAAGTAAACCTTTTCAAGTGTTCATGCTGCCTATTACCAGGAAGTGGAGCAAGTATGAAAAATAAAGACTGGACCTGATGAATGATGGAGGTTTTTTGAGTGGTCATTGGTCAGATTAAGTGGGTTGCTATCTTGGAGCTGCCCATTATGGTACAGAAAGCCGAGGACTGCTACATTGTTGTAGAAATGTGAAGTCTGTACATGGAGCGCTGTACCTTTCCATCCTGAAATCTAGAACTCAGTTGTTCCTCTATGGTGCCTCAGTTCAGACACAGAAATGTCCCAAGTGTAAGGGCTTAAAGATGGGATACTATACAAGTTTTTTAGAGCTTTACTGAGGGTTAAAGAATCTTTGGTTGAAGCCGGATGCTGGTGGCTCAAGCTGTGACTGATCAGGAAGGTTCAAGGCCACCCCAAACAAAAAAAGCAAGACCCTATCAAAAATACCCAGCAGAAAAAAGGGCTGGCAGTGTAGTTCAAGTGATGATAGAGCTCCTACCTAGCAAGCATGAGGCCCTGGGTTCAACCTAGTAGCGTTAAATTTTTTTTTTCTGGGCTGGTGGAGTGGCTCAAGTGGTAGAGCACCTGCCTAGCAAGCGTGAAGCCCTTAGTTCAAATCCCAGTACCGCCAAAAACAAAAAAAAAAAAAAAAATTTTTTTTTTCTTTGATCTTGGGTCCAGAGCCTACAGGAAGAATTAAGCATAATAAATAAAGACAAGTTTTTTTAATGTACTGAAAACTTGGGGGCACATGTGCTTGGTGAAAAGGGTGATGGTCATGATGGGGATGGCAATATAACCATTAAGTGAAAACTGGAAAGCTTTTCACACCATTAAAGTACTCAGAATCACAGATTGAGCTTGTGTCTTGTGTGTGTGTGTGTGCATGTTTTCTCTGGTATTTTAATTGAGTAAAATTTCAGACTATAATTGTGATACCTGTAAGCTGAATCTGGAATGCAACAGGGTAAAGTAGAAATTTAAGCAGCAATACCACCTACCAACTGGGTAGCCCTGTGAATTACTTACCTGAACCCTAATTTGAAGGTTCTTAATATTCCAAAGTTGTGTTCAGTGTCCTGTATCAACAGAGCACAAGATTTGTTAGCCCACCTCGTGTCCATTGCTGTGATCTGCACACAGCTTAAACATGTCTTTCCCCTGCAGGATTTAATAGACTTGAACATAAGTAGTTAATTGCTCTAAAATTCATTGTAACAGATTTTAAAGAACAATGAATGTCCCAACAAAGTGGGAAAAATTTATCCCTACCTTTACAAAATTGGATTGTTTGGGTCATGTTGATGTATAATGAAAATAAGGAACACAATCTTCCCTTCATAATTGAATATGGAAAAAAGAACTATACAAACAAGGGAAAGAAGAAAAATATACCCACAAACATTCATCCAATGAGTAAAATCTTTACCTTGCCCAAACTGAATTTCACATTTCTCAAAAACTAAAGAAGCCTGATTTTGACAAAGTCTGAAACTAGTGCGATTTGTAGTTGTGCCATCTTGAAGTGATACCAGCCAATAAAAAGAATCAATACAGCTTAAAACAATGAAGTTGAGTGGATAAATCCACATCAATAGAAACCTTATCAGAAATAGTTCACCAACTTGAAAGGGCTTGTAATAATTCTAACCACTTTTAATGGTCTGCTGCAAATGAAAGTGAAGAGTGACCTCAGCACGGAGGACCTTCATTCAGGTAAAGTTCTCTGGAAAGTATGCTAATTCTGCCTTATGAGACCTAGCTTTTGTCCCACAGCTAGCTTCCACTTAGCTAGTTCTAGATGTGGCAGTGACCTAATTTTCCTTGAAGGTATCACATATTACTAGTAACCTTCAGGGAAAGCAGCCTGAGAAGTACAGAACACCACAACCCTTTGCTCCCGTCACGCCTTGAGGCTCCCAGCATCTTTATCATTGGGATTGCTGCCAAAGTCACCCATGTAGGATCTCTTCCCTTTTCACCTTCCTCCCTTCCCCTGCACTTCTTTGCAAAAATTAAGTGTCTTTCACCAGGCAAGATAAGTGGTTTATATGATTTATTTTGAACTAATAACATAAAAATTGAGAGTGTAACAAAAAGAACTACATTAAGCAATAGAGAATGAATGTAGAGGATTTTTTTTTTTTCCTTTGTGTTTGGGATTTGGGGGCAGGGGATTTTTTTGGTGAAAGTAGAGTTTGAGCTCAGAGCTTCACACTTGCTAGGCAGGTGCTCTACCACTTGAGCCACACACTAAGTAAGCCCTTTTTGCTTTAGTTATTTTTATGGTAGGGTCTTACATTTTTTGCCCAGGATGGCCTGGACCAGGATCCTCCTACCTATGGCCTCCCCACATAGCTGGGATCATAGGCACATCCCACCATACCAGGCTTATTGGTTGAAATGGGGTCTTGCTAACTATTTGCCTGGGCTGGCCTTAAACTGCTATCCTCCCAATCTCTGCCTTCCGAGCAGCAGGGATTACAGATGTGAGCCACTTCACACAGACAATCAAAACTAAACACTTTTTTTGTTAAGAAAATTTTCTTCTCATGTATGTGAGCCGTCACGCCTGAAGCTTGAAGAGGCCAGTGTGTAATTAAGACTTTCAGTTGGTGACACCGCAGGATCTGGTCAAGTTGAGCTAGGTTAAATTTCCAGTAGAAAACAAGGGTTGCTTAACTGTAATTCCCCAAAATTAAGCAATAATGGAGCATCTACAGTAGGCCTGGGAAGAAAGTCCTGATGTATGCTCAATGACTTCTCTTCAGGAAGGAATGTTTCAGGAGCTGGAGAGCCGAAGGTCGCTGGTGTTGATCCCTAAGAAGGGAAAAATGTCTTATAAGCAATATTCAGTAATGTAACTGCTAACAAGATCTACTTGACCCAAGATGAAGACTCTGGTTGAGTTCCCACTCCAGTTTTTACCTGTGTAATCTTAAGCAAGTGACTCAAACTTCCCTCATCAGTAAAATGAGGATAACAACAATACCTAACTCATTGGCAGAGCTAAATAACATATCCAGCTTTTAAAAAGTGGCACTGGTAGCTGCCCTGATTAAAAACTAGGCCCTACTTTTCCATTGTACTTTTGCTCAATCTGCTAGGAATATAATTTACACACAGTTAAAATTCAACTTTCAGACTTATCATGCAGTAAGTACTTTTAATTAGCATTAAATTTACTTTTAAAAATTTAGTACATTAGGCAGCATGGTTCAAATAGTCAAGTGTTTGCCTAGCATGCTTGGGTTCAATCCCTTGTACCTAAATAAATAAATACATACATACATAAATAAGGCATTACAATCCAGAATTGAAAGGACTTTTTAAAAGTAGACATTTAAATGTGCTTTGGTGATGAATTGATAGGTGATAAATTGATCTACCACTTGAGCCACACCTCTAACCCCAAACATCTCATGTTGTTGAATTAAAATAATCTTACTTTGGTCACTGTCAGATGAGTAAAAGGAGACCGTTGCTCAGTTCTATTGTGCTTTAGGTTTTTTCTTCAAGAGATTAAAAACTTTTAGAGATGGATCATCAGTGAATGAATGAAACAGTTAATAATTGCAATGGCCTCATCTGAAGGCATTCTTTCAGTTAAATTGACTTGTTAATTTTTTATTATATTATGTTATACTGGGGGTACATTGTGACATTTACAAAGTGCAATTTATCATAGTTGAATTCACCCCTCCATCATTCTGGCTTTTGATCATTTTAAAAGCAAAATAACCACCAAGCCATTTTCCAGGTAAAAACAAAATAATTTAAAATATTTTTAATCACCATCCAGAGGCCCCTTTTCCTGCCTTCAAAATATGCAGAAATCTTATGCTTCCAAAAATCTTTTCCTTTAACAATAAGTTAATCCTCTCCTTGCCATCTGTCAGCCATCTTTTCTTTTATCCCTGCCAAATGACCCTAATATGTTCAAGCCCAGTGACCTTTTTTCCAACATTTGTTATTTTCCTAAATCCTTAGTCATTTGACCCATTGTTGTACAGGAATTACCTTTGTGAAATTAGTGATATTTAAACGAGTTCATCCTCCTTGTGCTCTCTGTGGTGTTTGGAACACTTCCCATTCCCTCCTACCTGAAACTTATCTCTGCTAAAGCTTATGAGAAAGTGTTCTATTGATTCTCCTGTCTAAGACCACTCTTCTCCTTCCCTCCCTTCTTTTCTCCAGTTACATGCTAGAGTCTGTGTTATGCATATCCTGTTTTCTCCCTTTGTAAGCACTTTTTTTTGGGGGGGGGTTAGGGGGTAGGACTGGGGTTTGAACTCACGGCTTCATGCTTGCAAAACAGGCTTGAGCCACACCTCTCATCCATTTTGTTCCAGTTATTTTGGAGATGGGAGCATTGCTAACTATTTGCCTAGGCTGGCCTCATACCACGATCCTCCTGATCTCAGACTCCCAAGATAGGATTGCAAGCATCAGCCACCAATACCTGGTCTTTGTAAGCATTTTCAAAAACGTTTTCCTCAGCCCACTAATTTTTCACAACTATAAATGTTGACATTACATGATTTTTTGTTTTGTAGGTGCAATGCTGGGTGGATTGTACCCAGGGCCTCGTGCATGCAAAGCATATGTGCTACCACAGAGCTATGCCTCCAGCCCCTAGAGTGATTTTTAAATCTAAACCTCCAAGTTCAACTGCTTTCCTGAGCTCCAATTCCATAGCTTCAAATGTCTCCTTAGACAAAGGGGGTGGGGGGGGAGTGTTTCAACTTCCTTTCCTGTCCTGTCTCGCAACTGTGGTTTTTCTCCCATTTTATCCAAACTCAAAACCATGAAATCTTATTCTTTTCCATTACCAACTCCTTATTCACCTTCCTCTGAAATTGTCTGGAAACCTCTTTACAGTCCCATGGCTTCTACCATCAAAGTCCAAAATCTGTGAAGAGGGGGAGGGTGAATATAAGTGGAGTACTTCATACACGTGTATGAAAACAGAATAATAAAACCCGATATAATTGCTTAAAAAATGGGAGCATGAGAATAAAAAAGCAATAGAGGGGGTAAAATTGATCAAAGTACATTAATTATATGCATGTATGGAAATACAATGAAACCCCTTTGTTCACGTAATATACACTAATAAAAAAGAAAAAAGGCTGCAGGAATGGCTCAAGCGGTAGAGTGTCTGCCTTGCAAGTGTGAAGAGTTCACACCCCAGTACTTCTGAGAGAAAATGAAAGCTCTGGATTCCTGCCTTGACTGCAATCCTGGAGGCTGTCTCAAGCAGCATTCATACCAAGCCTTTCATTACTCCACCATCTGACCTGCCTTCCCAAGGGCCTTTCTCTTCATGGTATTCTTTACCCCAAATCCTCTGCAACCTTCTACTCTTTCACTGCTTTTTGCAAATTAAGCTAAATTCCTTGGCCTTACTTCCCATAACTTTCAACCTGCCAAAAGCAGTAAGTACTCCCGTCCATGCTATCTCTCACTGCTTTCCCAAGTTCATTTTTGTTCTAGTCAGGCCTTGCTCCTGGTCTATATCTGACTACCTCTATTTCTAAATCTTGAAGAGTGCCTCTTCTTTAATTTCTAGCTATCCACTCCTCCAAGAAATATCATTATCTACATCATTATACATGAGATGCTATTGTCCTTAGGATCTTTGCTGTAGAATTTCAGGAGGTAATTATATGTGTGTGTGACAGTAATTAAGTTGTGTTAGTATTCTCCCTAATGGTTAACTATGGAGTCCTAATTGTGCACCCCATACATTGTTAAGCAATTTATATACACCATTTAACTTGACCTGCACAACCTTGTTAATTTATATTAGTGGGGTGAGTTGAGTATTACTCAGTTTATAAAGCAATGGTTCAAAAGAAGAGTTATAAAAAATTCTACTTTTTCTCTTTAAAGTTCTGTGTGTGTGTGTGTGTGACGATAACTTTGGCGAAAATGAGAATAGCAGGTGGTTTCTAACTGAGAGTCAGTAACAGATAATTGTTAAAACTCAGAGCAAAGAAACTACAATAGTTTAAAGAGCTAAGACCAATCTCCACATTTGGTATTGGGTTGTTTGAGATTCCCAATGCCATTGTGTCCCTTTTGTGTGTTTTTCCAGGAGCTGGGCAGCTCGATGCCTGTGCTTCTGTCCATAAAATCTACACTGAGGTGTGTCTGCATTTAGCAGTGACACCACCCCTTGCAGTAGAAATGTGTTCCTGCCCTGAAATGAACCAGGACCGCTCTAAAGGAGACAATGAGAGAGGCACATTTCTTGGCAGACAGAGAGCCTGTGGATTCTGAGATTCATTCAGAAAGGCAAAATGAACCCCCTGGAGTTGGAGATTGCCTTAGGTAGGGGATAAAAACTGGATCTCTATAGTTTTCCATCTAAGGATAAGAAAGCACACTTCCTTAGAAGACCAGAAATTGAGTTTGAAGGTTGGGTCTTACTTTCCTGCAACTAAATGTGGCGCCTCATTAAGAGTGTATATTTTAGGATATTCTGTACCTTCCTAGAGATAGTGTGTGAGTTCCAGCTCCCTGCTCTTTAGCTCTCCCCTAACACACACACACACATACACACACACACACACACACACACACCATTCTAGGAATGCATGCTCAGCAAACAGTACCACTGAGCTACACCCTTGGCCTTATGTTTTATCTCTTAACTAAGAACTCAGGCTGGGAGTGTGTCTCAAGGACAAGATCCTGAATTCAAACTCTAGTGCCACCAAAAATAAAAAAATAATAATTCATATGAGCAGAGGGTTTCTAGCTAAAAGTTTGAAAACCACACCACTAGTTAATCCCTATAGTCCTTATAGTTCTAAGATTGTACTCAGAAATCCATCCCAGAGATAAGAGAAAGAGGATAAAGAGGAGAAAACAGACATCTTCTTGGGCTTTTCTGCTTCCCCAAATGCTCCCACATTTGCTACTTGAGATTTGTTCTTTTTCCTCGCAATGCTTCCCCTCACTTTAAAGGCAAGGTGTATCACTTAGTCATGGCAAATCTGGAGAGATGTCTCATTGGTAAAATAAGCAGATCTTTAGCCCACTTTGCAAACCCATTGATATGGGGCATTGTTGTGAGGACCTGATAAGGCATTTAATTGAGGCACTTTCTACTTGCAACATTGTCCCTATGCCCTGGTATAACAATGAACAAAATCACCCAAAATGGGTAGTCATGATTACTGTCCGCACAAATCACTCCCTACTTGATTTCATAACTGCAAGAGAAATTTTGATGGACTCCAAGTTTCCAGGGGAATGTTAGCTGCTTGGAATCTCTAGGTATTTATTCTCTTCCTGTTTTTTGTTTCTTACCTGGTCAGGCACATGCGCACAAAGTCTGCTGCGTGTTCTGAGAAGTGGTCTGGTAAAGGAGGCATCAGCCCTCTGTGGGCCCCAATGTAAAACATGGCTGCCATCCTGTCCATGGAAGCCAACGGAGGCTTCCCTGTGGCCATCTCAAACACAGTGCAGCCAATGCTCCAGATATCTGATTTCCTTCCATAACCAGACTCGTTGATGACTTCTGGGGCCATCCAATATGGAGTCCCATGCATGGACTTCAGCATGTCACTGTGGGTGCCATTTAATCCTGCCCAGGCCAAACGCTTGGCACAGCCAAAATCAATCAACTTTATTATTCCAGTTGGCATGAGCATAACATTGTTTCCTTTAATATCACGATGTACCACACAGTTCTCATGGAGATAAGCAACACCTTGCAGAATTTGTTTTGTATATTTACAGAACACCATCTCAGGCAATGGCCCAAAACGGTTTATAATACTAGAGATTGAGCCACCGGGAACAAACTCCATGAAAATGCTTACAGTGTTCTCTTCCAAGCATGTCCCCAGATAGGCCACAATGTTGACATGTTTCAGTGCTTTGAGCAAATCTACTTCTTCCTGAAGTTTCTGATACTCTTTTTCAGTAGCCAGTTTATCAGAAGTATCCAAAGTTACCTGTTTTACAGCTATTAGCTGCCCTTGGCTAGTGAGACCACAGTATACCTAGAAAAAAACCAGTACCTTAATATTAAATTTAAGTGACATAATGACATGTTCACAGAATATTTCATGTGACATTTGATTTTCCCTTCTCCTCCCAAACACTTGTCTTTCTCTAAGTTGAGACATTCCCACTTAAATGCAACATATTTAAGAGAATTCTGTGTTCCAGTGGAGCCAATATAGGGAGGAGTAAGCAACATGGTGAATAGATAATAATATATTGGCTTGGCGTCGAGTGACTTGGATAATTAGAATTCCCCGGTCGTACATTTTTGAGTAAGTTGTGCAATTTACTTCTGATTTCTCTGATGACTGCATCAGATATTGGTTTGGGAAAGCTCCTCATCAAATGAATGAAACAGGTCTCGGTCAGTTCTAAAGCTCCATGGAGAAAGAAGGAGGCAAGTGCTGGGGTCATCCTCACAGAGTGATCTCAGCAGTTCTGTGTCTTCCCACCTTCTCATTGATTCCTGACATGTCCCCAACTACAGACTATACAGGTCTTATTTGTGGATCAGTCTTTTTTTTTTAACCTGTCTAGGTTAATACTTTCTAGATTACCAATTCTCAATTCTCAAAACAGAAAGAACATCTTTTAGCTTTGCCAACAACTTCCAGTGACATATAGAGCTACTAAGATTTCTTTCCCACTGGGCTTAAACCTAGAATAACAGGAAGCTAGAGGTGCAGTGACTATTGTGCCACTACGTGGAGCCTGAGAACAAGAGCCAGACAGATAGTGGCAGAATGGATCCTGATAACATGGTCTGACCCCTGGAACCACCTGTGCCCAAGCCAATTACCCACCTTTCAGTTGCATAAAACAATAAAAATCTTTCCTCTCAAGCCAGTTTGGGTTGGGGTTTCTGTTATTCCAGCTGAAAGAGTTCTAAGAAAGAGTGTGGCAGGAGCAGCATGGGGGGAAGTGGTAAGGGAGGAAAGGGGTTGAGAAGAGGTTGAGAATTCTGATTTCAAGGTTCCAGATGAACTTACTGTGCCATATGCTCCCTTCCCGAGGATCTCACCCTTGGTCCACTGGATAGCTTCTTCACGCTTTAAACTACTTTCAGAAAATGTCTTTTTTTCATTTGAGTTTGGAAATGTCTCCTCTTTGTCATATATCCCGAACCCATTATTATACCTCTGGAAAAAATGAGATGAAAAAAAGATCACCATTATGACTGAGCACCAGTGGCTCACACCTTTAATCCTAGCTGCTTGGGAGGCTTAGATCAGGAGAATTGTGGTTTGAGGCCAGCCTAGGCAAATAGCTCATGAGACCCCCATCTCCAAATAAAAAAAATGGACTGGAGGTATGGCTCAAGTGGTAGAGTACCTGCTTTATAAGCATGAAGCCCTGCGTTTAAGCCCAGTGCCACCAAAAAAAAAAAAAAATCCCTACTAAACTGAGTCATTGGAATGGAGAGAAAAAGTGAAGAGTATAGTAATCTTCCTCTCAAATGCACCTGTTCATGACTATTCTTATTGTTCCTGGGTAACTTCTAGACACAGATTTCCCCAAAATGATTGAGTCTTAGTTGTAAATTTCAGCCTGGCTAACCATGCGTGTGCCTAAGTCACATTTTGCCTTGTATATTTTATAGAAGGAGATCTTAGGTTTGCTCAAGCCTGGTCCTACATGGGCCTGCAGGCTACTGACCACTGTGTTTTGAGAGTAACTTTTCATAAGGACCCTAGTATATTAGTGCATGCTGTCTCCTCAGCAACCCACCGCCCCCAGCTCCAAAATTCCCTTTATTCTGGTCAACTTGCTCCTAAACACAGACAAGTTTAGAAAGAGAAGCACAGACACAGTTGAACACACACACACACAAACACACACACACAAACACACACTCACACAAGCACACACACACAGTTATATGTACATTCACAGAAGTACATACTGTATACACATACATATAAGTGGTATGTAACCATAAACATACATTCAAGTATACACAGCACATACATACATAGATATATGTACTGAGAGACAATATACAAAACAATAACGGTCAGACCATATATGAAAATAGAACTCAGACCTACAATCCACAGCAACCAGCCCATTATCTACAATAACCAGCCCTGGAAGCCAGCCTGCTATCTACAAGTCAGACTTGCAGGAAATTGGACTACTATCTCTAGCAAATAGTCCATGAAGCCCAACAGCAACTCTTCCATAACCAGTCCCAAACACTCAGGACTTGATTCATAACTGACAGCTTCTCTGCTTTTTGTCCCCACTTCCAACTTAGGACCAATTAAATAAAGAAAGCCAAATGTACAGCTCTAAGAAACCCCATAGGATGCATCACTCCTGCTTACCCTGCCACTTCTTCCCCACACCAACAGCCACCAATCAGAGAACACCTGAAGCCTTCCCTTTTCCACTATGCTTTCCACTCCTCTGTCTGCCTTTGAGTCTCTGCCAAAATGGAAGTGATGGTGGCTGACTCCCTTGCTGTGCCAAGCTCTGAATAAATAGCCTTTGCCTGATCTTTGTTTATTTCCACAATATACACATATACTCAAACATTACATATATACATAAGCATACTTATAAAACACAACACACGCAAGCACATACATTTACACACAAACACCTAAATAGTCTCTCTCTTGCTCTTTTACACACATACACACACACACACAGCCTCAGGGCCCAGACAGATTCAATCAATGCCCAGGTTTTAACAAGAAACTGGTGTTCACAGTAAACTTTGAGGCACTGCGTCAGAAATCAGGAAACAAGTATCCTTGTGGAGAACTTAGATCACTTTATCCAACTGGTTGATCAGGACCAGAAATGTTTTGTTTTGATCTCCTCTACTAGTAATCTTAAAAACCTCAGTTTTCTAAACCTCAGTTTCCTCATGTATGAAGTGAGCACATATTAATTCCCCTCTTAGTCATAGAGCTATTATGAAACATAAAATGAAGCTAGGCACGAGTGGTTCATGCCTGTAATTCTAGCTACGTTGGGAGGCTGAGATCAGGAAGATTGCGGTTGATGGCTAGCACAAGCATATAGTTCATGAGACCTCATATCCAAAATAACCAAATCAAATGGACTGGAGGAGTGGGTCAAGCAGTAGAGCACCTGCTTTGCAAGTGCGAACACTTGAGTTCTAACCCTACTCCCACCAAAAAACAAATAAAAATAAATAATAATAAATGAAACATAAAATGAAATAATACAATGCACTTCACTCACATGTGGTTAAGTTCTCAGTAAGCCTAGCTATGGGATAATTATTTGCGTGAGCTTCTGCTCAACTATTTTAAATAATTATGCCTGACCTTGAGATAGTGTGCTATAACCTGACTTACTGTTAAATAAATAACATTTCAGCTTAAACTACTATTTCTGTCTTTAAAATTCAGAAAGTTCATGCACTTCAGGGAAACCAAAACAAACAAGACCCAATTATCTGTTGATATTCTTTCTCACTCTACTCTGACTCAACAAAATGCTTAAATTTTTTTTCAGGATTTTTGTTTATGCTTCTCTGAGAGGAATAACTGAGTCTTATACATTGCTATCTCCTAGTGTTTAGCCCAGTGCCACAAACACAATAGGAACTGATAATATTTTTGTGTTAAAGTAGTGACCTATCTGACAGCACTCAAGTTCCAGGAATCTTTGAGAAATGTACACTTCGTACAAATGAAACAGGCTGTGATCATTTATTTCCATCTCACACACCATGTACAGCAATGCTTTGCTTATAGCTTTCTCTTTGTTGATCATTGAAAATTATCTATTGATTTAAAATGTCATCATTGAATAAAATACTAATCTATTTAAATAGGTCAGCTTTGCTATATTAATTTGCCCCAAGTGATTTCAATGCAACATCAAGCTAGCTAAATCCAAAAGTAAGGAGCATGATAAAAACATCTTTCTCTGGAAGTCAAGGAACCTGAATTCCAATCTTTCAACCAAACAATGACACCTTGAAGAAATACTTAATTGTTTAGTGTTTATGGTTCCTTCTTTGAAAATCAGGGATTTGAACCAGATTGTTTCTAAGGTTCCTTCCCACCCCAAGAATCTCTTAGTCTAATTATACCAACCTGTATTTTGACATTAGTTGTCTCTCTGCCCAAATCTTTTGTAGTATTTCCTCTCCTACTAAAGACAAGATTTAGGTTTTCAGGGTCTGTTTCATTTGTCATTATTTGGCAAGAGCTATCTTTCTCGTCAAGAGCTAATAGTTCTGCAGCTAGACAACCTAACAATTCATCTGTTAATTCTTCATTGTTTAATGAGTCCAGAATTTCTTGGGAAATTGAATTTGCATCATTTAAAGTTTTTCCAAATGTTTGATATGTGATTGACTTGTCTGATAAACTATCATGGTCCAAGGAATGTGACCACTGTTGATATGCTTGGGAAGATACACTTTCTTGTTTCTCTTGGAAAGAGAAACTTGCAGGCGTTTTAGGTTTATCTGAAACACTATGAAACTCTAGATAATTCATTAACAGTTGACTGGTATTTATTTTATCAAGAGGTGCTATATTCTGCTTTTCTTGTAGTACTTGCTTATTAGAACTCTTCTCACTGGGCACAGTCCAGATATTTTCTGAAGGGACAAAAGGGATCTGGTGATGTAGATCTTCGAGTTCCTGCAGATCTCTGAGGCTTGTAGCAAGTATTTGGTTAGAAATGTCTCCCTCTTCATTACACTCTTCCATAGAGATTTCTTCAACAACGGATAAATCTGAGACAGGAAGGAATTCATTCTGTTCAGGGGGCTCCTCAGAAGTCTGGACCAAGTTCATGGGGTGAACTTCAACCTTGGAAGATGGAGAGTTATTTCCTGAAGATTTTATCTGCCAGTCTGCTTCTGAAATACCATCACCATTTTCCATGTTTTCTAGGTTGCTTCCTCCAACCTTGCAACCCTTTTCTCTAGGAAAAGCACCTTTGTGCTTTTGCTTAAGGCCAAGAGAAGGCTTTGAGGGTTTAATATGTGGTCGTTTCTGAGAAAATCTTGCTCTGTTATTGCTACTTCTCTCACTGTGTGAAGATCGACACTTGTTGAGGATACGTCTGCCTGATGGAGCCGAGCATATCTCACAGTAATACTTGTTTTCATGTCGTTTTGCCTCTCGCATGTGACAGTAAACAGGGGTCCCAAACATTTCATAGATTCCAGGTCCATTGGCAGCTGAATTGATTTCTTTGAACATGTCACTATACTTAAGATCTAGGTAATGGAGTCTTGGCTCCGTTGGTGGAACAGAGAGAGGAACACATGCCTTTTTCATCCCTGGACTTTTACAGATGCAGGGAAATGACTGCTTTTTAGGTTTCTGAGTCCTGTATGTTGATTGCTTCTTTTCCATCTGTGGCATTCTCCTTTGTAACTTAGGTGATTGCCAGGGCCTGGGATCGACCAGCTCCAAAGCAGGAAAAACTTGAGTTTTTATGCTAGTTTTATGCATATTAGGTTTAATGGAAGCTTGAATGGAAATCATGAAATTCTGGGGTGTCATGTTACTTGTCTTGGTCTTTGAATCCAACTTACTTCTATGGCTATTCAACTTACATTTGTCATTTTCTTGGTATGCAAGTATGTTGGAGCCATTGTTGTTCTGAACAGTGCTCTTTCTTTTCTGGAGGCTTGGTTTGGCTATCACTGGTTCCTTGGGGCTTCCATCTCCAGGGACAGTGATGTGGATAAGAGGCACTATTCCATTCATTTCTGGTTTAGTTGCTTCTGCTACTGATATTTTTATGTTTGTATCCATGTCACTGTGATTTTCTGGGAGCTTTTCAATGGGACCATCAGACACTATACTGGAAAAGCTTTTAAGTACAGTCAATTCTTCTAACATATTGTTCTGTACCATTGTTTCACCTTTATGTAATGAATTGCTTCTTGAAATAGTGTTGTCATTTCTAATCTCTTTATCCTGGTTTAAAGCTATTTCTGAGTGCTGGGCTTCTTGGAGCTTTCCTGGACTGGTACACACAGTTTCTGAATCGTGTTCATACCTGGTTGTTGAACTCTCTTTCTTTCTCAGTGACAGATATGGAAAGTTCTCTTCTGCTCTCATTTCACTGCCACAGCATTCAATATAGTCTTCCTTGTCTGCATGGATATTGTCTTCCTTAAAATTCTCAAAGGACACCAGAGATTCCCCTTTTTCAAAATAAGAGATTTCAATTTTGTCCCATCCTTCTGTTTCCTTGGATTTCCAATTCTCCTCCCCCTCCAGATGGTGTCTGTGATGGTCAACCTTCCGAAAAGGGCACATGTTTCTTGACCAAATGGAGCTGTCAGAAGACCTGAGTGTTTGATTCACCACGCCCTTCAACAGGGCTTCCTGCTGCTGGTTTGAGGCACTGCACTCATCAGATGAACCAGTAGGTTCCAAGAGCTTAGGCACGAAGGGTGTGAGGAGTGGCATATTCCTTTCTCTCTCTCTTGGAAACTTGTGACTTTGGGGGATAGTGAGGACACTAGATCTCATGGGCAAAAGTGACAACGGTGGCAGAGGAAACTAAAAGGAGAAAGAGAAAAAGCAATGAGTGCAGAAACATACATAAATATTATGTTAACTGGCTTAAAGTCACCCAAAGAGATTTGGTATTCTCTTAAGAAAGTTTTTTAAAGCACAAAACTATCTTAGAGACACAGATTTTTAATTAATTAATTTTGTGGTGCTAGGAATTTATTCCAGGGCCTTCCACATGCTAGGCAAGCACTCTACCACTGAGTTACATTCCTAGTCCTTGGGTTTTTCAGACAGGGTCTCACTATGTAGCCCAAGCTGGCCTCTAATTTCCTATCTTCCTGCCTCCACTTCCAAATGTTAGGATTATCAGAGTACACCACCAGGCCCAGTGAGATCATAATTTTTAAAACTAAAATCTCAGGCTGGGGGAAGGGGGAGCTCAGTGTAAGAGTACATGCTTAGGACTTGCAAGGCCCTAGGTTCCCTCTCCAGCACCAAAAAGAAAAAACAACAGAAGCAAAACAAAGAACAGCTGGACACAGTGGTTCATGCCTATAATCTGAGATACTCAAGAGACAGAGATAGGAAGGGTCATAGCTCACAGCCAGCCTAGGTAAAAAGTTAGCAAGACACCATCTCAACCAATAGCTGAGCATGATGGTGCATGTCTGTCATCCCAGCTTCATGGGAAATGTAAATAGGAAGACTGTAGTCTAGGCCAGCCTAGGCAAAAACATGAGGCCCTATCTCAAAAATAACTACAGCAAAAAGGGCTGGGGATCTAACTCGAGTGGCAGACCACCTGCTTAGCAAGTATTAGGCCTTGAATTCAACCTCCAGTACCACAAAAAAACAAAACACACACAAACACAAAAGAACAACAAAAAACCGAAAAGCTCATTTTTATAACCAAAATAAAACAACATTTTAAAAAAACAAAATTAGATGTAAATCTCATGGTTACACATTTTTAAATGAAGGCTCTATAATGTAAACATTAAAAAATTAAGATGAGAAACATTTTATTTCTCTTTTCTTTTTACTTTCCATAGGATTAATTTAAAATGTTTTAATCCCTCCTGAGAAGAGTTTAAAACTGCTGTCACATATACCTTAACAGTGACAGGGCTGGTGGAGTGGCTCAAGTGGTAGAGCACCTTCCTAGCAAGCATAAGTCCCTAAGTTCAAACCCCAGTACTGCCAAACAAAACAAAAAACAGTGGTCATTCTGTTACTGACAAACTCAGTCAGTATCTGGAATAAAAACAGTCATCATCATTTTGCTGAATTATTTTAACCCTTGCTGCCTTTTCATTCATTCTCCTTTGTTCCCCAACTTTTTTTTGGTGGTACTGGGGTTCGAATTCAGGGCCTTGCACTTGCTAAGCAGGCACTCTACTACTTGGGCCATGTCCCCAGCAATTGTTTGCTTTATTTTTCAAATAGGGTCTTACTTTTTTGACAGGATTCTCTTACCTATCCCTCCTAGTAACTAGGATTACACATATGAAACCATGCCTAGCTTGTGTTGAGATGGGGGGGTCTCACTAACTTTTTGCCAGAGCTTGTCTCAAACCAGAAATCCTCCCAATCTCAGCTTCCCAACTAGCTGAGATTACAGATCCAAGCCACTTTGCCCAGCCTTCCATTTTCAAACTAAACCAGTTATTACCATTATTGACCTCTAGAGGGCAGTGTAACCCAATGTATAGCATTCAACTTTGCACTTACAAAGCTATAAACTCCTTAACTTGCTGCTTCTTTACATTGTGGTCTTTTCCCATGTACACAAACTCCATGCCTAATTATATCAGAATGTTTATAGGTGTGGATCATGCAAGGTGATTGAGAGCTCTAAGTTTAATTTTCATTCTTTCACCACCCACATGTAAGCAAGAAGGAAAGGAGACCTGACTCGAGAGACTCAAGCTGTAGGAGGAAGTGCATGCACCATTTTTCAAAAATAACAGGAAATAAAGGAAGATTCTGACAGTGTTTAAACATCTCTCTAACAATAGCCATTAATTTTTTTAGGACAATAGCTTCCTTTTTAAAACACTAAGCTGTTCAGAAACACAAGTAGTTTCTCAAAGGCTCATAGGATACAGAAGGGTCAGAGACCTGAGACAAGTAAAAAGTTGCAAGTATCTTTTCCGAGGTCTTTACATATAAATTAGACAAGAAAATCTCTCCACAACTGGAAGGAAAAAGAATTTCCTGCTTTGTGGATAGGTCCAGAGCATTCAAATGGCAATGCATCTAAGAGAGCTACTCACCTGCATGGGTAGAGGACAGGAAACAGCCCAAAAAAGCAATGCACAAAGCACGACATCAATTTCCTAGGCATGTAGGCATGATCTGCTATTTTAGAAACTAGGTCATTGTTTTTCTAAGATGTAATTGCTGAGGATTTGGTTCTGAATTTTTTGACGGAATTTGTCTCATCAAATGACTTTTTTTTTTAATTCTTAAATCAAAAATGTTAAAATTAATCTTACCTCAATTCTTCGGCTACTGTGTTTCATATCAGAGGTAGAAAACTCTACAACAAGAAAAATAATAATAATTGGATAGGCTTAGTAATAGAGTGAACACAGTGTTAAGCCAGAGTTTGAGGATGGAGTGATGGAGATGCTAAATGTGGAAATTAAGAGCTTTTCCCTGTGTCATCCACACACAGGTGAGTTTGGGATGACAAACTTCAGGCTACTGCCACCAGGAGAGGGTTTTTTTATACACAAGTCCCCCTTTATCTGCAGTTTCTCTTTCCAGGGCTTCAGTTACTGTTAGTCAACAAGGGTCCTGAAAATATTAAATGGAAAATTCCAGGAAAAAATACTTAATAAGTTTTATGTTGGTGCTGCTCTGAGTAGTGTGATGAAATCTCAAACCTTTCCAGATATGGTGGCAGATGCCTATATTCTCAGCAGTAGGGATGCTGAGGCAGGAGTTCAAGGGCAGCCTGGGATACATAGTAAGAACCCATTGACAGAGAGAGAGGGAGAGGGAGAAGGAGGAGGAGGAGGAGGAAATAGAAGAGGAGAGGAAGAGGAGGAAAGGAGGGAAGGGGAAGGAGGGAAAGGAAGCTGAGGAGGAGGAACAGGGCAGGGGAGGGGAGAAGAGAGAACTCATACATACCTTTGCTGCCCCTATCTCCCCCCCAGGAAATGAATCATCCCTTTGTTCAGCATCCACACTGTAGACTCTACCCACCCATTATTCACTCGCTAACCACCTTGGCCACCTTAGTCACTGTAGTGTATCACAGTGCTGTGCTCAAGTGACCCTTAGTAGTAGCTTAGTGCTGAGTCACAATGGGACACCACGCATCTCATTCATCTCATCCTGTGGCCTTGAATCACCTGTCTCACGTCATCAGCAAGAAGGTGAGTATAGTACAATAAGACATTTAGAGAGAGAGAGAGCCCGTTCACACAACCTTTATTACATGATATTAATTGTTCTGTTTTATTATTGGTTATTATTGTTAGTTTCTTTTTATGCCTCATTTATAAATTAAGCTTTTTCATAGGTAGGTTCTCATAAAAAAACCATTATGTGTATATACTACGTAGGGAAATACTGTCTTCACATCTGTGTTCTGACTTGAAACACAAGATCTCTAGATCAGACAACAGACATCTGTTACTCACAGAGCGTCACAATGCCAGCTCCTCACATCTTCGTTCCTCACAGGATATGAGGTAAGAGCCAGATGCTCACCTACACATGTGTGGGGTTGCACCCCAAAAGAGAACCCTGAAATGACGTGACTCCTGTGGTATCATAGGCTGGATGGCACTTTCCCCACCTCACCTCTCTCTCCAGAGAGGCCTTTACTATGTAAGCAAATGTCTCAAGGATAAGGAGACAAGTTGTCCAAGTTTCATTATCCTGGAATGCAAGCCTCCAGCTCTCTGTGGAGAGACACACGAGCCCTAACTTTCATGGCATGCGTGCCTCTCAATCATCTTTTAACCTACTTCCCTAGAGCCTTTTGCTTAGAAAGCCTGGACTGTGTAGAAAAATGAAAATATTAATGTATAATTGTCTCCTAACAGTTGTTTGAATTAGCTAGGTCATAAATTCTGAATAGGAGGTATGAGGGAGAGGGGGATGGGATTTACTAGGTAGTCTAAAACCTAGAAATTATTCTTTCTAATCAAAAAGTCAGAATGCTCCCCCAAACCCCACAACTTAAAGCTGAAGCCAAAAGTTCCAATGTCTCCAGGGTCAGAGGAAGTGACATAAATGGATGAAGTGGGACAGTCCCCCAAAATAAAGTTTTCCTCCTTTTAAATAGTTTCTCTCAGGTATTTGTCACAGCAACGAAAAGCCAACAAATATAGTTGGTCAGGAATGATGTCAGGTAGAAAAGATATTCTGAAAGATTTCTGATGGGAACAGAGAGCTCTTTCTGGTAGGTTAAGTCAAAAGTATGTGTGGAAATCCTTTTAAAATGTGTAGAATTACAGTGCGATGTGACAGAATGAACATACAAACTTTTCTTCATTCTCTTACTAAAAAGACAGTAAAGGAATTTAAAAAGGCATGAACAAGAACAAACATACATGAACAGGAAGGAGTAGCTCAAGTGGTAAAGCATCTGCCTGGTAATTGTGAGGCCCTGAGTTCAACCCTCAATATCACCAAAAAAGAAAAAGAAAAGGAAAGAAAGAGGAATGAGTGATGTGAGTAAAATTTTGGACAGTGAAACTGTATGGATGAATAATAGCTGATTTAGTGCTCAGCTTTCTCTGTCTGTTCAGTGCCTGTGGGAGGAAAACCCTACAAGAAGAAGGACCCCAGAGAGGAGCAGGCATTGCAGATGCCAGGTACCTCTGAAGCAGAGGGTTGCTCAGAAACCTGCATGAGAAGCAGTTTCCAGATTCTCTGTCCTGCCCTACTAGTGAGGAGTTGCCCTTCTGCCCAGTGCCACATGAAGCCAGTGTTCATTACCAAAAACATTGGCCTGTGTCCTATAACCTATAGGAGGGAACTTGGATTATCCCTGCTAGGGAAAATGAGCCTGGAGAAAGGCATAGCTATACACATTTGAACTTGGGGAACCCAGTCTTCCAGGACAGCCCATTCACCTCCTTTGAGCCCTTGCAACAAGCCCACTCAAACACAGCACACACTAGTGCAACTGTCCTCAATACGCATAAGTAACCAAGGATTGAGATCTTCCACCATGAAAATACAGAGAGCAAAACAAAGGGAAGCAAGAAAAGAGCGCAGATGAATTCGAGACAACAAAAGAGGATCACTAACATGCTCCATGAACCTTTTCTCAAGAAGCCACTGGAAAACATGCTCCACTGAATGACGGAGGAGGCCAGGGAAAAGTAACTTTTGTGTCCAGCACTCAGGGATTCATTCAACAGAGCAGGGGGTGAGGGAATTCTCAGCAGCTGGCTGGTAGGGCCAAAGAGCAGGCAGAACAGAGTGAGAAGAGAAGACAGAAGATTCCAGGAGCAGCCTCCAAAGACAAAAGGAAGCAAAGGTATCTGATGTGCGTTTTACAGGTGCATTAAGCAGGAAGGGGATAAATTAGTGATGGATACCCATAAAGTAAGCAAATGGTGAAATGAAGCAGTTGTTAAGCCGGGATAAATGCAAAGAAAGGAAATGTAATCAGTATACTATGGGATTCAGCTACAAATATTTAACCTAGTCATCATAATGGAGACATTGTATTTTTTTTCTTTAAGCACAAGATTGGGAAGACTAACAATCAAGAAATAGCATTATAAACATGGTATTTGAAAACACAGAAACACACTCTGGAAGAAAGAATCTTAAAGAACTATTTGCACTTATCTCTTATTTTTTAGTTTTGCTCATCTATGTTTCACAAAGTTTTTGTGATTTTTTTTTCAGACAGAGATCCACTGTGTAGTCCAGGCTGGCCTCAAATTCATCATCCTTCTGCCTCAGTTTCCAGAGTAGCTGGGATTATAGGCATGTACCACCATGCCTGGCTTAAAGTCTTCTTAATAAACATACAGTGATTGTCTAATTTTTAAAAATTGCATTAGACAAATAAAAAAGAAATGCAAACAAATAATTGTTTGTGTTTGGCTGGTGGGCAGCCACCCCATGGCGATCAGGGACTCTCTGCTCACTTTCCACTCCATCCCCTCCTTCCCTTCATGATTACCATGGCAACTCCTGCTGGCAGGCAATGGGTCCTGACCCATATTACCCCAAGCTCCTCCCCACCAAACCTCGACCTATCCCGATGCCCCATAATACCTTAAGCTCTTGACTTCACCCAGGATATAAAAACTGGGCTGCCATTTCTCCGGCGCGACTTCCCCGGCCCTGCTCTTTGAGGACGGTGAACCTCGCCCGAGAGCGCGCTCTCAATAAAGCCTGCTTCAAGCCTGCTTACTTTATTATTTGGCTCCAATTTGGCCTTCCCATCAGCGTCGACCTAACAGTTTGAGGAACCCAAGTTGACACTTTCACACAAGATTATAGCACCTGTGGAGCAGCCCCAGCACAAAGTACTAGCCTCACCAAGACTACTGTGGCCTGTGTATGGGTCTTGTCACATCTTCAGAGTTCACTGCAGCTTGAATAGGAGAGGAAAATGCTTCCAAGAACTGCAATCAGTGTCTCCCTCCGCTCTCCGCTCCAGGTTAAACCTGTACCAACTAACCCTCCTTTTCTCTGACTGCATCTTCCTAGGAGACTGACTATCCATGTTCTTTTCTTTTTTGAGACAGGGTTTCTCTATGTAGCCTAACATGGTCTGGAACTCATGATCATCCTGTCTCAGCTTTGCTTATTCTTTTTTCCCCTTCTTAACCTACATGGGACTGAGCCAGAGGGTGTAAACTCTGCACATAGCTGGCTTAATGCTTACGAGAGACAGGTGGCTCAGATTTGAACCCAGCCTCTGTAACTCATTGGTGACATGACCTGGACACATGGGCACATATTTGACTTCTTTAGGTATCAGTTGCCTCACTTCTGAAACAAGAAATACTAATGTTACCAGTGGATATTTGTGCCTTGCAATAGTAGCTTCAATAAATGATTATGATTATCATTGCTATAATTCAATATGCATTTTTAAAACGGGCTATGTGCCAGGTGATGCTAGCTGCTCATAGGGGCAAACCTTTACAATCTAGTGCAGACAGGTACATAAACGAATCATACGATTCAACATGGAGGTGGGTCACAGGTAAGGTCAGGATCCTAGGGTGCTCAAATGAATGGCAACTCAGCCATTCATGGAGAGGTTTAGGAAGATTTTCCAGAAGTGATATATAAGGTGGGACCTGAAGGATGCGATCATATTCCTGCAGAGAGAACAGTACTCTTTTAGGGAGTGGGAAGCTTCCAGTAATCCTAATGTTGATCATATGCAAAAGAAGAGGAGCTACTAAAGAGAAGATGCTGGGAGTTGGGAGCTAATTTTCATAGATCTTAAGGAACAAGACTCTAGGTCTACTTCATACTCCATATTGTTAGCCACTTTACACACAGCCTATGGTATCCCTGCTTCAACATTTCCTAGGTGAAATAAGCTAGACACTAAATGACAAATAATGTATGATTCTACTTATATAAAGGAAGATTGAATTGAAGAAGAGTCAACTCAAAATCCCAGGTACGTGGTAGGCAGAGATGGGGAGGATCATAGTTGAAATCTAGCCTGGTGTTGGGGGGAAGTTAATAAGACCTAATTTCAACTGATAAGCAGGGCATGTGGTATCATCTATAATCCCAGCTATGTGGGAGGCAGAGGCAGAATAAATGTGGTCTGAGGCCAGCTTAGTAAAAAAGCATGAGCTCCTATATGAAAAGTACAAAAACAAAAAAGGGCTAGGGGTATGACTTAAGTGATAGAGCACCTGCCCAGCAAGCTGGAGGCCCTGAGTTCAAATTCTACTATCTCCTCCCCTTACTCCCCAAAAAAGAGTAAGAATGGTTAATTCATACTGACCCAGTAAATGGAATAGTCATTATCAAAGGTTTTTAGTGAGGGGGGAATAGGAAGTTATTTGTAATTTTTGAATTTTTACTTAGTTAGTTTTTGACAGTACTGGGATTTGAACTCGCACTTGCTAGGCAGGCACTTTACCACCTGAGCCACTCCACCAGCCCAGGAAGCTATTTTCTAAATGGGCACAGAATTTGTATTTTGCAAGATGGTGTTCTGGAGATGAGTGGTATGGGTGGTGGACAGGGGCTGAGTATGTACCTCTGTGGTAGAGTGCTTTCCTAGCATGTGCAAATCCTGGGTTCGATCCCCAGCACCACCAAAAAAATGGTGGTGTATGTGAACATACTTAATACCACTGAACTATACACTTGAAAATGGTTGTAGTGGTGAATTTTATCTTACGTATATTTTATCATACGTTTTTAAAAATTTAAAGGCCTGCTCATTTAAATCATAGAATTATTCAATTTTTTTCACCCTTGTTTGGAAAGATGCCTCCCCGTCCCTCTGGGGTCTACTTCTTTGTAATCAGCCAATAAATGCAACATGTTGTATTATAAGTTTGTTCCTGGTGATTTAGGCTGATGAGAGTAGGACAGTGTTAAGCAAATAATAAAGATGACATTGTCCCATTGCAAAGAAAGCCTGGTGTCAATGCTACCATCTGGTAACTAAGCCTTGGGCTCAGTATAAGTGAAAGACGACTCTTAGACTCTCACATTAACTTGAGTATCCAAGAATGAAGCTGAAGTGAACTTGAGTCATTAAGGACCCTGGTACTGAGCAGAAACAACTCAAATCCTTCTGGTGGAAAAAAGCATCTTCAATGTAGTCCCCCTAAATTCCCACAGATAAACACCAAACAAATATGAGCTCACAATCAAGATTTTCAAGTATTCAAAAAAAAAAAGTCAATAGCAGTATAAGTCAGTAGAAACTAGAGACAACAGATTTGAACTCCACAGGGATTTCTGATATTGGAATTATCAAATGCAATGTAAAAAATAACACTGTCTTAAGTGTTTAGAAGAAATAAAAGATGAAATCAAAGCATGACTTTCTCAAAAAAAAAAGAATACTTGAAAAAGAAACTTTTGAAAATAAAATATAATTGTTGAACTAAAAATTAAATTTAAAAAACGAACAAATGGATCATAATAATACACCATGACTGCCTTCTACACCTACCACAGTTAAAAAGACTGCTAACACCAAATGCTTGTGAAGATGTGAAGCAGCTGGAACTTTGTACATTGTTTATAGGGATGTGAAATGGTACAACCACTTTGGAAAAAAGTTCTGGCCATTTATTAAGAACTAAACATACAAACAGCTATCCTTAGCAATTTTACTCTTAGGAATTTACCCAAGAGGAAGGTCTTTCAAAAAGACTTGTACAAGAATGATCAGGATTACTTTCCTATAATAATCAAAAGGCAGAAGCAGCCTTGATATCCATCAATAGAAGACTGGACCCACAGACAGTGGCATATTCTTATAATGCAGTAATATTCAGTGTTAAAAAGAACATACAAACACCTGGATAAATCTCAAAAACATCAAGCTAAGTGGAAAAAAAACTTACATAAAAGAAAATGTTGGGGACTGGAGGAGTGGTTCAAGTGGTAGAGTGCCTGCCTAGCAAGTGTGAGGTCCTGAGTTCAAACCCCAGTACCACTGGGGGGAAAAGTGTTTAAAAGAAAATATGCTGTGAAGTTCCATTTATATGAAATTCTGGAATAGGCAAAATTAAATTTGGCAAAAAAAACTCAGAACAGTACTTGCCTCATGGGAGTAGGCTATTTGCCTGGGAGGTGGGATGAGGACTCACGTTAATGTTTTATCTTTTAAGAAGGGTTTGGGCTTCACAGGCGTGTGCATTTGTAAATACTCAGTGAGTGTATGCTGAACATACACTTTTTTCCCAATGAAAAGAATCTTCAAACATGCATGGAACTCTAGGTAATGACAGACATACTGAAATTTTTGTGAAATGCATACTGATATCTGCAATGTACTTTTAACTGCAACAAAACTAAGATGGATCAGTGAATGGATAGATGAATGAATATATGATAAAACACCTAGAGTAAAATGTGAAAGGTGGAATCTAGGTGAGTATACAGGTATTCACTGTAAGAAATCTTTCCCCTTTGCTGCATATCTGAAAAATCTTATTATGAAACATTGGAGAAAAATGTTTCAATGGATGGACTTAATTGCAAATTAGGCAGTGTTGAAGATGATCAGTAAACTGGAAGTGAATCAGAGAGAGAGAAAAAGAGAGAGAGAGAGAAATACAAATTAAAAGATATGAAGGGAGAAAAAGCATAGGGATTCTTACCCAAGGCTGCATGTAATTCAGGAAAATGGACATAAGATATAATTTGTAATTCTGTACCTATTTTAAAAGCATCTTTAATTTCAGACCACCCTCTGAAGTCTCCCCATGTTGCGTACAAATCTTCCCATGTATTATGTGATCCTATATAATCTGTGCCCTCCCAGATACAGTTCGGGTTTCCCCCCCCACACTTGCCCTGCACTCACTCTGCCCAGCTACACTTGTCTTCTTGCTCTCTGGAGTGCTGTTCCTGGAAGTATACTAGTGGTGCATGCCCTCTTCTTCAGCTACCTGCTCAGATTACTATCTTACTGATGCTATTCCTCATTCACCTTATTTAAGATCTCAAACTGCCTGCTGTCGTCTGGTTGTCTGTGTCCCTGCTCCCCAAATTCATATGTTGAAATCATAACTCCCAAGGTAATGGCCTTGAGGACAGTGACTAGGACATGAAAATGGAGCCCTCATCAATGGGATTAATGCCCTTACAAAATAGGCACAAAGAAGCTCGCTTGCTTCTCCTACCATCTGAGGACTCAGCATGAAGGGATCATCTAAGAACAAGAAAATGAGTCCTTTCCAGACACCAGAAGCCTTGATCTTGGACTTGCCAGCTTCTATAACTGTAAGTAATATATTTCTATTATTTAGAAGCTGTCCAGAATATGGTATTTTGCCCATTTCTTCAATAGCATTTATTACCATCTGATGTACTAAATTTGTTTACTAGTTTTTGCCTGTTCCCCACCCCTATGAGGGCAATGATTACTATGTCTTGCTCACTACTGTATCTCTAACACTTAGATTAGTGCCCAGAATAACAAATAAATGTTTGTTGACCAAAGGAATAAAGGAATTGCAGTAGAACTAAATGCTCAGCTTACCTTCAGATTTTCTTTGCTGCCCCTTCAGAAAATGAGGAGCCTCTTCCTTGGTTACAGACTTGGAGATGCTTGGTTCTAAGCAAGGTCTTGGCAACAAAAGGCCCAAGTTCACATTGCAAAGCTGCTTGGAACTTCCTTCTTTTTTCAGTAGGAAAGTCTGTGTGGTCAAGGTCTTTTTCCTGAGGTCCACCATCTCAATTTCATTTGGGAGAGAAACAGAATGCACTCGTGCCCATTCTTGATGCACTGGAGTTATGTGACTAAAAGGAGAGGGATGTTTGATTTAATATTCACTTACTGCTACAGTTTGGATCTGGAATGTTCCCAAAGGGCTCATGTGTTATGGGCTTAGTTGTTGGGAGGTGGCAGAATCTTTAGGAGGTAGGGCCTAGTGGGAAAAAGCGAGGTCATTGAGGGGCATGCTTTTAAAGGGGACATTGCCCTCCCAGTTCTTCTCTCCATTTTTGCTCCCTGGTCACCCATGAGATGTGGGGAGAGATTATGAGAAGCCTATGAGACTTGACACAAGCACAGCTGTGCTCAGTGGTCTACAGGCTGAGTTTGGCACGGCCCCAGCAGCACAGCTGCTTTTCCTAAGTTGTTTATGTTCAGAGAGTAATACACATTTCTCTTGTTACAAGTCACACCCCTCCCTGAGAACTGTTGCTCCACCTCCTTGTTTACCACTGTATATAAAAGACTTGCTGAAGGAGGACTGATTGATGGATTGATGGGACTGCATTGGAGGATGGTTGGATTGGTGGGCTGCTTGCAAGGATGACTCTGCTGCTACTGCTGGCTGCTGTGTATCTGTGAGTCTGAGGACCAAGACTTTACGAGAGATTAAAGAAACATGGGACAATGCAAGACTAAGGAAAGAGACTTTAAAGATTAGAAAAGAAGCAAGATTTTAAAGAATAATAAAGAAGTAAGGCCTTAAAGAATAGAGAAGAAAAGAAGCAAAGTAAAAGAAAATAATAGAGAAAAGAAGTAACGAGGCTGTTGTGCGTCTCCATCTGAGCGCCCAGCACACTTGGCCCCAACTTTCTACATGTTTGTCTACCCTTTGTCCTTTCTGCAGCTCCAGTTGCCCCCAGTTAGGTCGGTAGAACAAGAGCTTGTGAGAAAGCTCACGAGAATGAGGTAAGCAGCCTTCTCTGCCACATGCTTCCTGCCAGGACACACTGCTTCTCCACAGACCTCAAAACAATGGAGCCGAAGCAATCATGGACTAGAATCTCTAAAACCCTGAGCCAAAATAAATCTCTCCTTCTAGATCTACTATCTCAAGCATTTTGTCACAGTGAGCCAAAGCTAACTAACTCACTCTCCTTATCCTTTGGATCTCGAATACTTAGGCCAGGGACTTCACTGGAACTCTTGGAGAACTATTTCTAAATGGTGCTGCTGAGAGAAATGATTGAATCCCAAGAGGACAAGACCTCTCCACTCTGGCCTAATCCCTACCTCCTCTGTCCTCTGTGCCTGGCACAATGGCCTGAATGGATTCAGTCTTAGTTCACTTCCGTTTTCCTAGTCCCCATTTTCTGGAGCAGAGAAATCACAGACAAAGGGCAGGTACAGGAGCTGTGCCTTGGATCTCCAAAGGCATTCATTGACCAGTCCAATGGTTCTCAAACTACCTTCAGTAAAGAATCAGTTTTCAAAATTTTCAATCCAAAGAAGAATGAAAATTTGTCATTCACAATTAAATGGATGGAACTGGAGAACATCATCTTAAGTGAAGTTAGCCAGGCTCAGAAGGCAAAAATCACATGTTCTCCCCCATAATATGGATTATAGAGCTAAAACAAATGCAGTAATATTATTGGACATGGGTCACACACAAAGAGAAGAATGTGTGTGGAAGGAATAAGGAAAGGGAAGGAAACCTAAAACTTGAATGTGGTTGAGGTGCTCACTATTGAGGAACGAATATAGTAATCTTAAACTGGCCGAGGCCACTATGGGAAGAGACTAGGAAGAAGTGAAGAGGTCAGGTAGAGATGAACCAATTCAGGTTGTAATACACATGTGCATGGAAGCAATGCTAGGATTCTCTCGGTATAGCTATCTTTATCTCAAACTAGCAAAAACGTTATGTCTTTCTTATTATCTCTTTTGCTTTCTCTTCAACAAAATCAGAGAACAAGAGGGCAGAACAGGTTCTGCCTGGAAGTGGGAGGGGGGAAGTGGCCCAAACAATGTATACACATGTGAGTAAATGTAAAAATGATTTTAAAAATTTCCAATCCACTGTGTAATGATACTTTTGTAAATTGCAATAAAAATGAATACCATAAAAATGAAAGAAAAAGAAAAATCATGCAGAAGATAAGCACCATTTTTCCATTATCTAACCAATGAACATAAGATTATATTGTCTAATTGTTTTACAATTTTTTAAATGGCTACTAGCAAGTACACTCATTTCTTTACATATTGCGTATGGTTGCTTTAAAGCCACTGTTAGAGTTGAATTATTGCCAAAAGAGACCATATGTATCACAAAGCCTAAAATACTTATTATCTGGCCCCTGTTACATAATATTTATTGTGACCTTTGCTTTAGAGGGTTGTTTTGGATTGAATTACTAAAAAGGTAGGTTGCCACACAAGTATCATCACTTCCTGTTTAAATTCCAATTGAACACCTCAAAGGATATTCCTTACTTGTTTTCTTTCGAATCTTCTTGGCGCATTTCTTGAGGATGATCTCTTGGAAAAGTCACAATAATCTCAACACCTATAGAAATTCACGACAGTAGTAGAAGGAAAAAGGAAATAATGAATTCCAGTGGTGCATGGGAAAAGTATTTTATTTCTCATTTGTTAGCTAGCTTGTTCTTAATGATTATGGAATGGACATTAACCAGAGGTGGAACTTTAGCCTTGCTTCTCTCTTTCCTGTCTAACATGTGACAGGCTCTAAATCAATGTTTTCTTAAAGAGCAAAAACCAAAAAACTTTATAATAAACCGTTCCAGATGTAAAGTACAGTTTCATGAGAAACAGTGTCATTTATCCTCTGAGTAGAGGCAAGTAAAAATGTCTTTACACTTTACACTGTGAAGTAGAAGCAATGACACCTGCCTCATAGGACTGTTGTGAGCATTCACTAAGATAATTTATGTGGCCCCAAAACAACTTTCTGGTATCTATAATTTTGGTCATCTCCTGTTTGATTCCACAGAAGGATTCCCAGCATAACCCTTAAATGGAAAGTTCCCACTTACAGAATCAAAGCTTGCTTATAGTATAACATTCAGCAGATTTAAATAAAAAAAATCAGGGCGAACCATTCTAAAATTGCCCGTACTTTAAGATTGTACATTCATTTTTTTCCCCATTCAATGAACTTTTGTTAAACACATGCCACGCCCGGGGCTTTGGGCAACAGACCTAGAACTAAACAAGATAGAGCAATGGCCTTCGTAGAGACAAGAGAGTAAAGAATGCGGCAACACTGTTGGCATTGCGATCCAAGTGTGCGGGGTTGTGGGAGTGTGGAGTAGTGTCCTTCCAGGAGGATGAAATGCTGGTCCCAGTGTGCATTCCTGTCCTGGCATTTGTCAGAGCTGTTTACTCAGACTGCTGATGCCTGGAGAAGCAATGTTGTATAAGCACCACTGAGTGAATGCTAGGGTTAAGTAGCTCAAGGAGAATAAGAGAAGGGGGGAAATCAGGCAGATCTGGGCCTACATGCCTCTTTATGTTGCTTCTTGTGTGGCCTGGGGAAAGTTACTCATAGCTACCATCACTACCACCATCATCGTCATCATCTTATTTAGCAGATTTTTGTTGTTTTTAAGGACTTTGGATATGTTGTCTAATATATAGGAACCACTATGGTGACAGCGTGTGTTTTGTGTGTGTGTGTGTGTGTGTGGTACTGGAATTTGAACTCCAGGTCTCAACCTTGCTAGGCAAGCACGCTCTATCACTTGAGCCATACCTCCAGCCCTTTTTTGCTTTAGTTTGTTTTTTAGATAAGGTCTCATGCTAACTTTGCCCAGTATAGCCTCAAATGGTGATCTTCCTACCTCTGCTTCCTGAGTAGCTGGGATTACAGGAATATACCACCACACTTGCTGTGACAGCATTTTTGTTGTTTGATTTTTATACCTGTGCCATTTAATGAGACTAGTGCATCAAAAAATTTCCAAAAAGAAATGTTTTACTTATAATCAGACAAATAATAACAGCATTTACTATCTTTGTCATCCAATGTTATATTTTGCAGTACAATGAAAATATATCTAGCCTTGGTTTTCTTCATGTTTCTCAATAAGACAGCTTGATTGTATATTTTCTAGTATTATACAATAGCAAGGAATGCCTCCATAAAAATGAAATTTCCTTGGAATGGTCAATTTTTTTTTTAAGTTTTCAAAGATCTTATCAGCTCACTATGTAGTATAAAGGCTTGGAATTACAGAGCTGGGAGGAGCACAGAGGTTATGTGATCCAAGCCTTGTTTTAGAGATGAAGATGCTAATAGCCACAAATCTGTGTGACACGCTCAAGGTCACTCCCCAACTTGAGAGGAAGATGGATGTCTTTCATAACATTTTTACAGTCATCCTTGAGTGTAAAAACTTAGATGACACATTACAGTAAGAAAAACATACAGCATATATTCCTAATAACTATACTGTCAGTGAAAAGGATGCTCCGGGAAGAAGGCTAGGTGCATTTAATACTTTGCTGTGGAAGTTAGAAAACTGAGTAGAGTGTATTCAAATGAGCACACACTTAAAAGTGACTGTGCTTGGCGCTGGCGGAGTGACTCAAGTGGCAAAGCACCTGTGTAGCAAGTATGAGGCCCTAAGTTCAAACCCAAGTACCACCAAAAAAAAAAAAAAAGACTGTGCTTTTACAATTATGGAGACTGAATAAACCCGGAATGGTTTAGGTATACTTAATGTGCTCAAAAGTCTAGTTGGATGGCTTCTTTTCCAAACCAAGAACAAAGAAAATAAGCAAGTGTCAGGAACACCTGCCTTTTTAGCAATTAAGAGCTAATGGCTGCCATCCTAATTGTTGGTCCTAAATGGGGGTGGGAGTAGCTTACAGAATGTACTGCCTCTGAAATCATTAAAAGTGTATCAATTCTCTTTGTTCTGTTTCTTGAACACTGAGTGGCTGAGGAGCCCTAGATAAGCGCTCTGAGCCTACTCAGTAGGCCAGAAACGATGATGTCTTGTCATGGATAAAAATAGAACACTTATCGTGACTGAGTACATTTTTCACATTAGAAGGTGTAAATTAACCCTGCCAGAAAATGTTACCATAGAGAGAAATTAAAAGACAACGTTTCAATGTAGCCAGAAACATACTTTCTTCACAGAAGAGGTGAAAATGATATTCATAAAAAAATCAGAAAGTGATCATTAATTTATTATTTGTGTTAGCGCCATTATTAAAATGGAAACTTAAAACCTGGCCCAGCTCACTTGTTCAATGAAGAAAAATTACTGTCTCTAGAAAAGTCTTACTTTCCTGTGTGTCCTCCTTATTCTGTTTGAACGGTGGGCATTTCTGTCTGGGTTGTAGGCACCAAAATTGAAAACATTCCTCTTCATATCTAGATAATTTCCAAAATTGTGAGTGCCAGCATAGACTTTTTATTTATTTATTTTTTTGATGGCACTGGGGTTTGAACTCAGGGCTTCATGTTTGCAAAACAGGCACTCTACCACTTGAGCCACACCTGCAGTCTTCAGTCTGTTTTTCTCTGGTTATGTTGGAGATAATGACTCTTGAACTATTTGTCCAGGGTGGCCTCAAACTGTGATCCTCCAATTTTAGCCTCCCAAGTAGCTAGGATTACAGTCACGAGCTACTGGTACCTTGCTTCAGCACAGACTTTTTAAAAACTATATTTTCCAGCACACTGTACCACTAGAGTTTGGAAAGCTTATGTGAGAGACTGATGTATGTGAGTTGCATAAAAAAGATAAGGCACAGGCGTCCTTTGTGGTAAATGGGTATTGGCAGAGGGATGGAGCGCTTCGGTTGATAATGGGAACAGCTCCTTAATTATGGCAGAGGCAGCATGGCTTGAGGGTCAGAAGTGACCAGTTTTGAGGTGTAGTTATGGGACGTCTTCTAGAAAATCAACAATAGAATCTTCCTGTTATGAACTGAATATCTGTGTCCTCCCTAAATGGCTGTATTTAGAGATGGAACCTCTAAGGAAGAAATCAAGGTTAATGAAGTCATAAGGATGGGGCCCTGTCCTACAGGATTAGTGTCCATATAAGAGGCCACATAGCTCATCCTCTCTTGCTTTCTCACTGCACACAGAGAAAAGCCATGTGAGAGCAAAGCAGAGTTCTGGAGACCAGAAAGTGAGCCCCTCACCAGAAACTAATCCCTGCCAAACTCTTAACCTTAGAACTCCCAGCCTCTAGACTGCTGAGAAATAACTTCTTTTTTTTTTTTTATTCATATGTGCATACAAAGTTTGGGTCATTTCTCCCCCCTGTCCCCACCCCCTTCCTTACCACCCACTCTGCCCCCTCCCTCTCCCCCCCACCCCCTCAATACCCAGCAGAAACTATTTTGCCCTTATTTCTAATTTTGTTGTAGAGAGAGTATAAGCCATAATAGGAAGGAAGGAGGGTTTTTGCTGGTTGAGATAAGGATAACTATACAGGGAGTTGACTCACATTAATTTCCTGTGCGTGCGTGTTACCTTCTAGGTTAATTCTTTTTGATCTCACCTTTTCTCTAGTTCCTGGTCCCCTTTTCCTATTGGCCTCAGTTGCTTTTAAGGTATCTGCTTTAGTTTCTCTGTGTTAAGGGAAACAAATGCTAACTAATTTTTTAGGTGTCTTACCTATCCTCACCCCTTCCTTGTGTGCTCTCGCTTTTATCATGTGCTCAAAGTCCAATCCCCTTGTTGTGTTTGCCCTTGATCTAATGTCCACATATGAGGGAGAACATACGATTTTTGGTCTTTTGGGCCAGGCTAACCTCACTCAGAATGATGTTCTCCAATTCCATCCATTTACCAGCGAATGATAACACTTCGCTCTTTTTCATGGCTGCATAAAATTCCATTGTGTATAGATACCACATTTTCTTAATCCATTCGTCAGTGGTGGGGCATCTTGGCTGTTTCCATAACTTGGCTATTGTGAATAGTGCCGCAGTAAACATGGGTGTGCGAGAAATAACTTCTGCTGTTCTAGCATCCAGTTTGTGGCACTTTGTTATGGCAGCCTGGGTGGACTGAGGCAGCTCTGGTTTTTCAAAGGTTTATGAATTTTCTAATGTCTTTTACAAATCCCTTCCTTTTCAACCCAACTAAGAGTAGGTTCTCCTAACTGTGGCTAAGAATCCTGATGTACTTACATTGTATTTAAAATTTTTTGACTGGATATGAAAGTGCATACCTGTGACCCCAGTTACTTGGGAGGCAGAGGTAGGAGGATTACAATCTGAGACCAGCCCAAATAAAAGTTAAGCAAGACTCTATCTGAAAAAAATAAACTAAAAGCAAGAAGGACTGGAGGTACAGCCCAAGTGGTAGAGCACTTGCCTATACCCTGAGTTCAATCTCCAATACACACACACACACACAAATTTTAATCCAATAATTTTAGAAAATAGACTCTTCTTTACTCATGAAAACAGTAAAGTTATAGTCTCAATTTCTAGTCTAGAATGTTTGTGTCTGATATCTTCTAGGAAAACAGGTGGTTTCTTAATCACCTTTCTCAAGGAAAGAAGATTTTTGTACTAAGAAAAAGGATGAAGAATTTTGCTGGGTGCTGGTGGCTCATGTCTATAATCCTACATACTTGGGAAGCTGAGATAGGGAGGATCAAGGTTTGAGGTTATCCAGGGGTGGGAGCTGTTAGGGAGACCCCATTTCAACCAATAGCTAGTAATGGTGGTATGTGCTTGTCATCTCAGCAACAGAAGGAAGCATAAAATAGGATTTTTTGACCATAAATTATATTTCACACAGTATCCTCTGCAAAAGCCCATAATAAAACAAATGCATACTGCAAGAACACTTTAGTTCTCCATAAGGATTGTTAAGTTATTTTTTTAAAACAATTGATAGATTGATGATTGATTGGTTACAGTGCTGGTGATCAAACCCAGGGCTTTATACGTGGTAGACAAGCACTCTACAATTGAGCAACACCTTCCACCCCCAAGAATCTTAAGATCTATGGGAGTACTCCAAACATTATTACGTTATATGTATTTTAACTAGTGATAGTCCCTTTTTAATAGAATACTATGATGGACAGACAGATGTAAATGAAATGATTAAATATATATGTGTTTACAACACAATAGTCACATGGTATATGCATAAGGACTTCATAAAGTGTGTGAGCACTCTGACCATAAAAATTAGAGGTATGCTAGAAATAACATGTAAATGGGATGTGAAGAGATTAAATTGATATTTTAAGAGACATTAATATTTAAGATGAAAAAATGCACGATAATGCTCATGACACTTTTACTTTAGACTGATGGAAAGGAGTAGCTAGCTGAAGTGAAGTCTATCAACTATGAGGAGAAATTTCATCAGAAAGATCATTGTTTCTTTGAAATTTGAACTCAACTTACTAAGGCTTAAAACTACAAGTGTGTTATAGCTCTTAAGTGAAAACCAATTTGAAAAGAGCAACTAGCACCTCAAATGGCAAGTCATCTCCAAGTTGAGCAGAATAAATGAAATATTCAACCTCCTGGAAGGTGCTTAGGGACAGTATCAGGGTTCTGAGAACTCAGATTTGAAAGTCAAAGGCAGACCACAAGGAGATGTTTGGAAGGGGAACAGGATTTGTTTATTGTAGTTGGTTCTTCCAGACTTAAGGGTGTTCATAATTATAACTATTACTAAATTAGTCTCTGCCTTCAGCCTAGGGAGAGGTTCTCAATGAATTTGAGAAAATCAGGAGGCTGCCCAAGCCAGGGCAGCCAGCACAAGGGGCCAAGGAGACAGAGGTGAGGGAAGAATGGCAGCCTTCAGTGAGGTGCAAAGGGACAGGACAAACAGTTCAGAGGCCAGCATTCCTGGAGTGTTAGAGATGGAAGCCAGAAAACTGCCAGAGAGAAACTGGAGCAGCTCAATAAACATTTAATTTAAGAAGGTTATGGGTGGGGCCAGGTGCCAGTGACTCATGCCTGTAATACTGGCTACTTGGGAAGCTGAGATTGGAAAGATCATGGTTCAAGGCCAGCTCAGTTCAAGGCCAGCATGGGCAAATAGCTAATGAGACCTCCATCTCCAAAATAACCAGAATAAAATGGACTGGAGGTATGGCTCAAGTGGTAGAGCACCTGCCTTGAAAGTTCAAAACCCTGAGTTCAAACCCCAGTCCCACTGCAGAAGAAGGAGGAGGGGAAAAGGATAGGGAGAAGGAGGTTACACAAATGTGATCACTGTTGTGACTATTTTCTGAAGTAAGAATCTGCAAATACCTTGTGGTCTGCAAGAACACTCAGGGACATTGCAGGCTAATATATTCGAAATAGGTGTTCTGGAAAATTCCTGACTTACTGCCTCAGAGAATAAAAGGCTAAGCTTTGGGGCTTTTTCACTAGTTCACTCTCCCACCTTCCCCTCAAGGGAACCAACAGCTCAGGAACCACTGGTTGTTGATAGAGAAATGTTTGATTCTGCAAGGGGACAAATTACTGGACAAATTCCTGGATGGAAGATTTTGAGAGGAAAGCATGTTGTCAGACAAAAAGAAAAAGGACAGAGAATGGCCGCTGAGCTGAGTGGGGTGGACCACAGAGAAAAGCCAGGAGAGGGTTGCCCATTTGGGCAGGAACAATTTGCTAAGACTGACTGATTCATATGTAGACTAAAAGGACAGAATGTTGGGAGGTTTTTATTTTCCTCTATGCTTTTCTGTGTTTTCAAAGTTGCCCTGAGTGCTTCTGAAATTGAGGAGAAACCCAAATAATCAATGTTATCTCTGTAAACACATCTAGCCCAGAAGCAGATACCTTCTATCCTGGATGGCCAGTCTTGTCCTTCACTCCTGGAATTTTGTTCTTCACTAACCAATATGGACTGACTGCAGTCATCATCCTGGTTAAAGTCCTGCAATACCAGAAAATAAAAACTCAGTTATGCAAAGTGCTACTTTATTGGCAGAGTAAATGTTGACTTTCCAATGCTAACATTTCACACTATGGATTCCTTTTAAATTGGATAAAGTATTTAGGACTAAAATAATGGGAAAGGCTCTGGCCCTGGAGCACAGGCTCACACAGTTACAGATGTGATTAATTGCATAATCAAAAATGAAGATCAAAGCTGAAATCACATAGACACATAGAAATTCAATATTTCATACTTTATTATTTCAGTATCCAGGCCTCTAAGCTGCCACAAATTCCATCTAAATGGGTAACTGGAAAGAATCCTTCGGCCACAGTCACAGTGAACAACCCCAAAGGAACATGATCTTTTCCATAATGCCTCCCTGCAGCATCATTTACAAATGGTGATGATGGAAATCCCTGTCCCTTGTGGAAGCTACAGATAGAACCCTAGACTGAAGGAGGCAGCAAAGCCGATTAGAGTTTTCACTATGACAGCTTTCTGGTATGATCATGATGCATGACTTTCCAAACTTCCATATTGCCCTCTAGAAAATCATCATCATGCTGAAAAACAAAGTTGAAAACCAATTTGACTTACAAAAAATACTCTGAATTCTATAACAGGAAAATATCTTCTTAGTAGAATTCACTGTGGTTTTTTGTTTTTGTTTTTGAGACAGGATCTCACTATGTAGCTCATGCTGGCCTCAAACTGACAGTCCTCCTGCCTTAGCCTCCCGAGTTCTGGAGTTATAGTCCTGCATTGCCACAACTGGACCTTAGTAAAATTCACTGTTGTTGATAGGTTCCTTTTTTAGAAGTTGTTGCTGTTGATTTTTGTGCTTTAAAATTTCTAGAACCAAGCTAGGAGTATTCCTCAGTGGTAGAGTACATGCTTAGTATATACCAGGCTCTGGATTCCATCCCCAGCACCACATAAAAGAAAAAAAAAAAAAAACCTAGAGCTATGATAGATGCATCTGGGTGTTCCAATTAGCTCTCTCACTTCTATGATCTAGGTGTGTCACCTATTTGAAGGGACTGTTGAGTTAAAAGTCTTTGCCCTAAAGGAGGTGCCTATTACCTGACAGTTCAAACACTCAGTCACAAAAAGCCTCTGATATTTCATACATCAATCCCCAAGATAACATGGGAGTTTTTGCTTTGTTCATTTTAATTATCATAGAAAATAACGAAAGTAAAAGCCTCCATTTATACTGCTATTGAAAAATATCTTTAGGTATGCAATCATAATAACTTAGTTACTGTACCTTACTTTCATGCCACACTTTGTACTTTTTTTTTTACTTTGTACTTTTTTATTAGCGTATATTAATTGTACAAAGGGATTTCATTGTGATACTTCTATACATGAATATAATGTACTTTGATCAAATTCACTCCCTCCATTACTCTTTCTTATCACCCCTCCACAATTCATACTTTTTTTTCTTGGCAGTACTGGGGTTTGAATTCAGGGTACCATGGGCAGGTGCTCCACCACTTGAGTCACTCCACCAGCCCACAATTCATTATTTTGAAAGCATAGTCTATCTCCTGGCAAAGGTAAGGTACCTTATGTCAGACCATTCTGGCTATCAGTGGCAGATGGCTTCATTCTGTTCCTAGACTGTTGTCAATTTCACTGCTTGTCCTCTGCATTTCAAAAATTCTACCATTATTGAGCAAGATCCTCTCCCTCCCAATACAAAGGAGGTTTTACTCTTTTCACAATATACAGAAATACAAAAATGTATTTTAAAAAGCAAAAGAAAAAAAAATTACTACAATCTGACAACTAAAAAGTAAGCACTGTTAACATAGAAAACCTCTTTCCTTTATTTTTTCCTAAGTATTTGAAAATCTATTTGAAATTATAACTTTGTATCTGCGTTTTCACTTGGATAAACATAAGTACTACAGAACTTAGAAGCCTGAAGCAGGAATATGGCCAAGTTCAAGGCCAACCTGGGCTACACTGTCACAAAACAAAAAGATAAATATATGTGCTCCCCGTCTCTCACCATGAGAAACCCTATGCTCCCTTAGGTCTCTGCCAGCAAGAAGGACATTGTAGATGTCTCTTGGACCTTGGACCAGAACCATCAATCAAAATAAACCTCTTTTCTTTATAACTTAAAAAGGATAAATTTATTACTTATTCAGTAAACATCATTTTAATGGAATTTGAAGTTTCTTTCCTTCAATACATATCAATCAGAAAGTCATAATAGTATTTCTATAATAAGGTCCATTTTAAATTCTTCATTATCACACCAGTGCTGTGGACATCATTGGGATTAATACTAATAATATATTAATATTTATACAGTATTTCTTTAAAGTAGATTCTTAGGTATTGAATTATTAATCTAAAGAGCATGAAAAAAATTTTTTACACACACTCCTTTAAAATAAAGTTTGTATCTCTTTATATTCTATTGGCAGTAGGTGGGTATGTTTTACTTCTCCCTTATCAATTATCACCATTTTTCATTTTTATTTATTTTTAGATTTTGAACTCAGGACCTTGAGCATGTAGGCAAATGCTCTACTATTTGAACCACACCCTTTTTGCCTTAGTTATGTTGCAGATAGGGTATCACACCTTTGCCCAGAGCTGGTATTGGGCTATGATTGTCCAACTTTTACTTCCCGAGTAGCTGGGATTACAGCTGTGTACCACCATGCCTGGCCCTTCTTTTCATTTTAATTAATGTAATATGTGAGATTGGTTGTCTTATTATTATTTGAATGTACACACTGTGATTACAGAAAAAGTAAGAGATGATTTTACAGGCTTACGAACCATTTGAGTTTTTCTTTTTATTATCAAGCTTGGGTCAGCTCCTTAGTCTAGAACCTTCTAAGACCACAAAGCACATTTCTAACATTTTCTATGTTTATAATGATTCACTTTGTGAACATAGGAGCCTCATTTGGAACTGTTAAATGTACAACTGATTCTTATATCCAGTTTGTTGATTAATGAGGTGTGGTCAGTCTCCACTGCTCAATTAATTTATCAGTGTGTCCTTTTGGAAAAGTTGGAAGACAGCAGAGTGTAGACAAACCTACCTACAAACACACATTAATGACTAGTGTTGTTATGTATGTAGTGCCAGGCATTGTATTATGCATCTTACTATATTAGCTAATTTTATTCTGACAGCAACTCTACAGGTAGAAACCATTACTTTCATTTTACACATGTAGCTCAGAGAAGTTGAGTATGTTATACAGCTAGCCAGTGGAAAAGCCAGGATTTACATCTAGACTCTGAAGTCTGATTTCAGAGTTTGTAATCATTCTGCTATCTTGCTACCATGAAAAGTTTGAAATTAAGAATTTCCACAAGAATCAGAAAGAGCAGAATTAACAACAGTAAGCAAAATGAAGAGAAAGGATATTCAAACCTAAGTTACAAGCTTTACGCAGAAAAAAAAAAAAAAGCATGTAATATTGAGCTGATGTTTTTGCTCAAGTGGTAGAGCTCCTGCCTGGTAAGCGCAAGGCCCTGAGTTCAAACCCCAGTACTTCCAAAAATAAATAAATACATAAATAAGAGTAAGGATATGTAATACCTATAAGAACCTGATGAAACTTTCTACCCTGGAATAAACTGAAAAACTATAAACACCACAAACACAAAGGATATAGGAAATAAGACCTTCTTTGAAGGTGATCATAGACAGGAAGCTTCTAAAAGCACAGCGGCTCAGAATTTTCTAATCTCTTAAAGAATGTTAATCCTGGAAGGCTTTAAGATGTGCTTGGTGCCTCAAGAAGGAGACCTGAAAAAATGACTCCTAGTAGTGAATGAAGGAGAGAAAGCATCAGCAAATCCCAAACCTATATGAATTTCATACACCATCGACAACCACCCAGGAGATGAGAGATGGATGAGAAATGGAGCATAGCAGTCTAACTTGCAAACAATAAACCTCCAAACACAGGTAAGAGAAGAGCAACCCACGAGTCATATGCAATTAAATTGGGAAAGAAGATTCTGCTCAGATGAAAAAAGCCTGGGAGAGTTTAGGAACAGCCTCTCAGGAGCAGCCCTACAAGCAAGGCGGCTGCTTGCATTTGTATACTGTAAACACCAATTTCAGACAAACAAGGAGAGACACAATGCTCCATTCAAAGTAAAGACTGGAAGGATGACCTTGGGTTTTGCTATTCAAACCGTAGAGAAAGCACAGGGAAGAAAAGGCAAGTCCAACAATGAAGAAATCTATTTCACCCTCAAAAATAAGTTCAAACTTTATTTCAACCACAATAAGGAAAACAGACATTGAAAGTTCAAAATCAGGTTTTGAAGTTGCATGTAAACAATGTACTAATATAAAGAAATGTTTTAGTTCTTTCAAAAATAAAATTACTTACATGTATCATAAAAATGAAAAGTAAATGTGTCTGCTCATCAACTCCTAATGCTTGGCACTCACTTTAAATAATGGTCTATAGGTATTTTATTTCTACTACTATATAATATTAGTAACTAAAACAGTATAACCTTTAAAATTATAACAAAACCTATTATCTAGTAGAGTTTTTTGGGGGGGTATTGGTTTTCATTTTGTTTTGTGTGTGCTGGGGATCGAACTCTGGTCATTGAGCATGCTAAGCAGGAGCTCTACCACTGAGCTACCCAAACCCCACAGTGGGGTTTCTCAGCCTCAGCACTGTTCACATCTGAGGATGGATAATCCTTCATTGTGAGGCTGCTCTGTGTGTTGTAGGATGATAAGCTACATTCTTACACTCTATCCATTAGACGTCACTTGCATTCTGCCCAATGACAACACCAAAAATGTCTGCAAACTTTGCCAAGTGTCCCTTGGGGGCAATGGGAGCCCCCATGAGATTCAGGATATGAAAACCACTCTGGCAAGATGCAGATTAACCTGTTTAGAAAGATTATAAGTGAGCAAAGATAAAGTGTTCAAATAGTATTTAAAAATAAAAGTTTCTATTCAACTCCTCTTACCTCATGCCCCAGATAAGTCTTGTTTTAGCCATTTTTACTTTCATATAATAAAAAAATTTTATCAAAATCAAACTGCATAATTTTCAATAATCAAATAATACTAAAAGATTTATAACAAAACCGTAATGTTCTTCTCTATCTCTTTCCTCAGAGGTAATCACTTCCAAACACTTAGCTGTCTCTTTAGTACTTTCTTCATTCATATCTTTAGATAATTATTTTGAGTAAGACATCACCTATTCACTTCTTATGTAATAGTTGACAATTTAGCATTCTTATGCTCTACTCCCATTCCCTCAGTAAAGTCACTTCTTTGTTATTAAATCAATCCCAAAATACAATTATGATGACATGGGCATTGTACTATGCAGCAGTATATTGTAGTATAATATAATTATACTTTACTTTATAACTTTATTTTCCTAGACAAAACTCAAAACCCCTGTTTGTTTTTAAGTAAACTTTTTAAAGAGCAATTTTAGGTTCACAGAAAAACTGAGAAGGTACAGAATTCCCATATACCACTGTCCCTACATATGCATAGGTTGCTCCATATCACCGTCCCCCACTACAGGTGATACACTTGTCAATGTTGTGTTATGCTTTAGATAGGACGTGTTCCCTAAAAGGTTCATGTGTTGAAAGCTTAGTCCCTAGCTGGTGGATCCTGTCATTAAGAGGTGATTGGATCATGAGGGTCTGGCCTGTCATAAGTGGATAAATTCATTGATGGATTCACAACTGAATGGACTACTGGGAAATGGTAGAAAATAGGAGGTGGAGCCTGGTTGAAGGAGTGGATCACTCAGGACCTGCTTTAGTGGGTATATCTTGTGCCTAGCCCCTTCTCTGCTTTGTGTTTGCCATGAGGTGAGCTGCTTTGCTCTACCACAAGTCCTGACTATGATGTTCAGTCTCACTTCAAGCCCACAGCAAGGGAACCAGCCCTCATGATGTGCTGGTGTGCACAGAAAACAGACCCCAGAAAGTTCTCTCTCTCTACCACAAGAGAATACAATGAGAAGTTGGCAGTGTGCAATCCAGAAGAGGGCCCTCACCAGAATCTAACCATGCTGGCACCCTGATCTTAGATTTCCAGCCTCCAGGTCTGTAAGAAATAGATTCCTATTGTTCGTGAGCCACCTAGTTACGATGGTACTTAGTTATAGCAATCCATAGTGACTCACACACACACACACACACACACACACACACCCACGAGACTCAGAACTGAATAACACTACTCTGAAAATAAACTCTTAGAAGAGTGTCTAATTGTACTGTATATTTTTAGTGATAACATCAAAATATAATTGTAATTTATGATTATTATAAAATATTCAAACAATACAAATGAAGTGGTAGATGAAGCAGGTTACCTATTTTTTTGCCTTTTAAAATCTTTTTATTTTTTTTAAGTAAAAGTGATAGTAAAGTTTATTAGAAAAGGAACACATACTTTGAATAGACTGAAAGCGGGTCATCTCTAGAGAGAGAACAAGCATGACCTTATTTTGTTTCTTTAAAGGGAACATCTTACCTCGTTGCTGCTGATGCTTTGCAATGTTATGGTTTGATTTTTGGTAACTGTCATGGTATCAGATGGAGAGGAGTTTGCTTCATGACAAATGTCAAGCAATGATTCAGCATGAGTTTCTGTCAGAAAGAAACATAATATTGCGTTTTGATAAGATTACTCCCCAACAATTTTACAGGAAGGTCTAGTTCTAATTTCTAAAACCTGCTCTATTTTGTCAAGTTTTGTTAGTCTTGGATCCTGATGAAGCTTCAGGTAATAGTTTTCACTGAAAGAGATGTAAAAACAAAAGAATTCATATGTGTTAATTTTTCACCACTGTAACCAAATACCTGAGAAAAACAACTTAAAGGAGGAAATATTTATTTTGGCTCATGGTTACAGAGGTTTCAGTCCATGGTCGCTTGACCCCATTGCTGTGGGCTTGTGGTGAGGCAAACATCATGGCAGAAGGGCATGGCAAACGTGTGGCAGTGGAGACTGTTCACCTCATGGTGGTCAGGAAACAGAAAGAACAAGAGTGAGGAAGGGGTCCTGATAAGTGAGAGTCTCCAAGAACATGTCCTTAGTGAACTAATTCCTCCACCTTAGGCCCCACCTCTGAAAGTTTCCATCACCTTCCAATGATGTCATCAAATTAGAAATTCATCAGTGGGTGAATCAATTGATTATATCAGAGCCTTCATGGTCCAACGACCTCTGAATGATGGGGATCAAGCATTCAACACTTTTCAAGTCTTTTGTGGGGAAAACTTTATATCTAAACCATAACAGTACGGATTGGCTGTTTTATATTTTTTATTTAAAGAAGCTAATATTCAAGGGAAAAAAATGAACAGATACTTTGAGATTTTGAGCCAGTGAAATATTTAAGAAAGCTGAAGTTCAATCAATCAACATTTACGCACCCACCAAACTTTAAATTCTATGGAGAATTAAAAGTTATCAAGGGCCAGATCTTGACTCAACATAAATTGAATCAGATTGAACTTGATGTCTTCATTCTCATTGCAGCTACCTCTGTGGGGTGCTCGGGCATAGGGAAGAGATTTTGAACCACTAAAGCCAGAAGTAGGTGGCTTCTTTTCTCCATGAGTCCCCAGTGTGGATGATGTTTACCCTTCATCTTTCTGCTGGTGGGTTGTTGGAAGGGACAGACTTCTCTATGTCTTCCAGCTAGATCCTGGGACACTTTAATGCATTGTTCAGAGTAGTGAAGACTTTATGATGTTTTTGCTGATAGTGACTTTTCCTTCAATGAATTTCCACACTACCCTGGAACATTCATGGGGAGTGAGGATGATCTCAACACTATATGGCTAGCAACTGAAATCAGAGTAATGCAGGGACTTGCAGATCATCCAGTAATTAAAAAACAAACAAACAACAACAAAAAACCTTAGACCACACAATCTTTTTTCTTTAGTGAGTGGAAGGGGAGATACCATGAAGTTAAATAAATAGTAATCAGCTATTATCCCTTCAAATATTTTGGGCTAACTGGTTTGTTTTAGGCAAAGCTGCTAAGTGGAACCCTTAATGATCAGCTGGAAATCACATTTGCTCTGCACTTGCCAAGAACAAAGGCACTCAGCTACTCTGAGCACATCTCCCATCTAGCATTGAAGCCCCATTGACAGAGTTTTGAACACCAGAGACTCCCAGTTAGTTCCCAAGGGGCATTACTATTATATCTATCCCCCCTTCTGCTATCCTGACTTCCAGAAAAAGCAAGAGCTCTTTCAGAGCGAGGAGCTTCTTCCAGTGGCTCTTCCATTGCCTTGCAGCTGAAACAAAAGTGAACCTATACTCAAACCCTCCATTTCTTTACCATATTTTCCTTCTTTATTCTTTGTCATCTATTTTTTTGTCTCCATTCTGCCATTTAATCTTTTATACTTCTTTCTCACATCTGCCTTATAATCTCTTTTCCAATTTGATCTTGTTTCCCACTACTTTCTTTTCTAAAACTCTCTCCCTATTCTCCTTCCTCTCTTATTTCTTTGAATTGCACACTTCTCTCCAGTTGTGGGTGTGCCTCCTTGGCTCAGTCCTCTGCCAGTTTCTCACCATCAACAATCCTTCAACCATCTCACCCACTGCTAGGACCTCAAAATCTCTCAAGTTAGCATATCAACCCATCCTTTCCCACAAGCCCCATCCTATAGAAAATGGCTACTTGAAAGTCCCAAGTTTCCATCAAATTCAGTGTTTTAAACTTATTACCTCCTGTTTACTATCCTCACCAAACCAGAATGTTCTCCAATTTTGTTGTACTCTACCGTAATGGGATGGAAACTTTAGAATCATCTTTAACTCATCTTTCTCAAATTTTGTTTCTGTCTCTCCTCTAACAACTTTAGATCTCTGAGGGCTGTGAATTGGTTTCACAATATCTCTTAGACTTACCATAGCTACCACTTTTCAGGCCCACTACCACATCCATTCAACGACTCTTTCTGGCTCTTATTACCACACTTATGGACATTTCTATAGTTTCTCCTCACATCCATCTTATACAGTAAGAGCAGGTTAATTTTCCAAAAACATGGCTTTTATCATTCTCTGACTTAATATGCTTTACTAATTTTATGTTTTGATAAAAAAAATATGTCCATTTAAGGCTTTCCCCTCAATGAACCCAGTTTCTTTCTGAATCCAATCTTTTGTTTCTTTTTTCTCTGACATGCACTTTCTGTTCCAGTCTCTACAATAGCCCCTGGGATAACCCCAGGTTACTCAGAGCATGGTGCCTCTACTACACAAAATCAAATTTCTTCCTGTTTCAAGATCAGATGGAGTCTTACTTGTTCCATGAGAACTTCTTAGGTAGAACCTTGTCTCCTGCCCCAGAAGTATTTTTTTAAAAAACTTCAAACAATAAAGTCAAGCAGCTCTGACTTACATGATGCACCCCTGACCATACTGTACACTTTCAAGAGTTTGGAGCCTGCATTAGACATCTTTGTAGCCTCCGAGCATGCAGTCATGGGCTTTATAGAGTCACTGCTCCATAAATAGTTGTTGGCTTGATTTAATTAAAGGATCCATCAAACACATGTAAAAAAACAAAGAGCTAATTTAGTTGGGAATGTGTGTGTGTGTAATAGTAATATTTACCTGGTTTGGGCATAGAATTCATGAGGATGTCCAATAACTGCTGTTTCCTCAAACTCTGTATTTGTGACACATAATGTATTGCTGATTTTCCACGGAAATCACAGAGTTTGGGATCTCTAGAAAGAATAGAATCAGCATCAAAGATTATTTAGTTAAATCTGTTGAAAAGGAAACCACGGGAGGGAGAGCCATCAACATCAAGTAAATAAAAAGTTAGCCTATGTAGTTGGGGAATACTAATGACTTCAAAATGAACAAGATAGAGGGGATAATTTTTCAAGATTTTAAATAAGAGAAATAGTCTCTATATTTTGTTCCTACCTCTATTCTAAGGACATTCTAAGATTTGCAGAAACTTTCTAACTTTGGACAAAGTTTTTAATAATTTAATGATGCATAAATAAAATAAAAATATCTTAATAAACTATTGTTTTATCATTCCAAAAAGCTGATTTGATTTTTTTCTTTCCAATACTTAGGTATTGCTGACTCACTTGACATTTTTTTTTTCTAAAAGGTAATAGTTACTTCTCTTATCATTCAAAATAGTGGAATGGCACAGAATCTCCTTTTTTTGCAGTACTGGGGCTTGAACTCAGGACATTTACCTTGAGCCACTCCATCAACTGTATTTTTGTGAAGGGTTTTTCGAGATAGGGTCTCTTGAACTATTTGTTTGGGCTGGCTTTGAACCACAATCCTCCTGATCTCTGCCTCCTGAGTATCTAGGATTACAGGTATGAGCCACCAGTGCCCAGCTAGAATTTCTCCTTAAAATTAACTTGGGGGTATTGCTCAGTGGAAGAATGCTTGCCTAGAATGTGTGAGATCTTGGGTTCAATGCCCAGCACTACAAAATAAAATAAATTATGCGATTTTTTTTACAGCTTCTTGACTGAGAGAGCCATCTTGTCATAAAATCCAGTGTCCTTTTCCACATTATCATTAAATTCTTCCTTCCCTTGCTCTGATTTTGTTGAGCACTACTGGCTGATCTTAGGGCTTCTTCCAACACCAGGAACATCTTATTCTCTCTCCACTATACTGAATTCTACCATTAGATACTGGCTCAGAGAGATCCATAGGGTAAATGATGAGAATCCTGTTAACAGATTATAGTGAAGGAAACCACTCTCTTTGTCACATCCTGGGACAAGCAGCAAGTTGATCATGGATCTCCAACCTAAATCCTTTCAGTTTGAGTCTTTTTGTTGCTACTGACATCCATCAAAGGCTATAATTCAAAAGAAATAGCATAGAACTAGAATTGGAGGGCTGCCACTGTTTTGAAAATATAGCCTTAAGCAAAGTCATTGACTTTGGAACCTCTGTTTGCCCGTATCCCTAGACCAGTGTTTCTCTACATGACATCTTTAATCTTCTATAGTCTTGGACCTCAATCCAAACCTATCAGACATCATCTCATGAGTGGTGTCTAGCAATATGCATTTTTAACAATCACTCCAAGCAGTTTCTTGATACTAAGTCTGAGATAGTTGCAAAATTCCATTTTCATTTCCTTACAACAATACTTTTATAATAATTCACATCCTTGACCATGCTTTTTTTTTCTTGAAGTTCCCTCCTCTTTTTTTTTTTTTAATAAAATTCATATGAAACACTGAGAAACAAACTGGACCATCTGCTCTTACCTGATGATAAGATAGCTAGGTAAGAGTAGTAGAAAAGAGAAGTAGAAAAGTACTAGAAAAGTAGTAGAAAAGTACAATTCTCACATGAGAAACTGCTTAAATAACCCTTTTTTTAAAAGTTGTTACTTGCATTTGGCAAATAATCATTTTCAGATAACTGAAAATCACTATAATAAATCACTTTTGATAGATTGACAATGCTTTTCAAAATAATTAGTAACATCTTAGAGGTAGGCAGCTGCATAGTCAAGAATAATTTGACATTCACAATAACTACCCAAACAGTAATTATTTAAACAAATAATACAAAGACCTGGGTAACTTAAGAATAATAGACAGCAAATTTTAACACTTGTGCATCCTTTGCGATTGTGAAGTCACTTTCATAATGATGTGTATGCATTTAATATAATAAGAGACGGCTGGGAATGTAGATCAGTGGGAGAGCACTTGCTTAGCATGCAAGAGGCCTTGGGTTTGTTTTTCCAGCACTGGAAAAACAAAATAAAACAAAACCAACCCCCCCACACACACACACATATGAAAACAATCTATATGTCCAGGTTTCCATGTGACTTCTGTAGATAACAGTGGAATAGATACCCCTCAGCTGGTGCTGACTGACCAACCACTCATACTCACGCACGATGCCTAAGGAGCTCAGACAGAACTTCCGCAGGTCTGTAGACTGTTAACATATCAAGACTCTCAAACAGGTCCACGTCTCTCACGGCCAGCATCAGAGAGGTCAGGCCATGTTGGTTTGGGAAATTTATATCCAGGAACTCTTCGGATGCCTTCAAAAACATGGGGCTTTATTTCCATTGTGTTTTTACCATATAGCTACTTAAATTAATCTTTGCATGTTTGTTGCTTAAAAAATTTTTCATTTGAACTTTTGTTTTTTTGGGGGGTAGGTGCTGGGAATTGAACCCAGGGCCTTGCATGAAAGCATTTATACTACCACAGAGCTACACCCCCAGCCTTAATTTCAATACATTCTTTCTCAATTTGTATCTTGAGAGGGAGTTAATAAAGTGAAAGAACACAACCCTGAAAGATAGGCAGACCTGGTTTTCAGTCTTAGCTCCATTATTTAACCTCCCAAAAAGGTTATACAATGACACCATTTTAAATGGTTGATGAAGTCACCTTGATAAAATAAGGGATGCCCTATTAAATGATGAATAATTTTCATTTGCAACACACTTATACTAAAAACTATTTGTTGTTTATCTGAAACTTAAATTTAACTGGGTATCCTATATATATTTTTTTGCAAAATCTGACAACTTGCTGATCTTCAGAGTACTGAACTGTAAGCTTGGAATAATGGTGTCTTCCTTGCAGAGTTGTTTTGATGATTCAAAAGAAAGAATATGAAAATCATTCAGCACAGTGTAGAATACACAGTATATGTTCAATAAATATTTATTGAATGAATGAATTTTTGGAATAATAAGACAGCTCATTTAACTGTATTTATATAGTTAGGTGGAGGTAGATATATGGATGTTATTAGTCACTTTAATGAAAGTAAAATTTAATTTGGACAATTAAGAACTGAAAAGTCACTGGAAGACCAAAATATCCAAATTGCTCATTTTATACACCAAAGTAACTCATTAATTTCCATCTCTATTTCACTTTCTGCCATTGTAGTACAGTCAGTGTCTCTATCTCAGCTTCTCTAGGGACAAAATAGAGATAATGCTATTACTTCAGCAGGGTGCTGTGGGAATTAGTCAATTTTTTTCAGTCTCTGAGCAGAAACTACCTCTTATATCAATGTTTATTATTAGCTAGAACCAATATAAAACTTTTGAGCTGAAAGTCGGTTTACAATAACACAGGAGTTTAGTATCTGTTGATTAAGCTTTGGATAGTTTACAGGCACTAGTTCTTAAGCTAGGTTGCTAAATCTTCAGAGGTGACAAAGGTGGCTAAGAAAATAGACATTGAGTTACAAGTTTATCTGTCAAGAATACCATTAAAATAAAATGTATTGTCTTTCAGAAAAAAAGAAAGACATGTTCTGTTCATGATACATGGCAATTTTAGACTATCATCTAGTAAAACAAAAGAATTTAAAGCATACTTTGGTTTTGTTATATCTATCCTTGAACTGTATGTGACTAGAATATCTTTCACTTCTTTAGCTGTTTGTGTCTTTACCGTAAGGGATTAGAAGAAACTGTTTCCTAGCAGCAATTGATTTTCTTTCAGCTGGAAGGTCACATGGGTGTGACAGTATCTTTGAAGGTAAATGCCAAGAACAGGCAATTGCTAGTTATGAGCGTCCAAGTTTATGCATGTGATTTTGTAAGGGGCTTTGGGGGGAAATATCTATAGGTAGTAAATTCTAAATAAAAGGATCGATATCCCCAAAAGACAGCATTTTAAACATGGATACTTTTACGTCCTTTAGTGGCAACTAAATATTATGCAAGGCACGGGCTCTCTGATTCCCTTTTCAGGATAAAGATAATAACTGCTTCTGGTCCAAAGGGATCTAAACAGCAATTGTACAAATGGCAATGATGTCAAGGGAACTCCTCTGAGCAAGAGGACACTAGTCTTCTGGGAACTTCCTGAGAGCACATCATTTCCCAGGCGTACTGCCTGCCTTCTAGCATTCAGCTGGAGGAAGGTGGAAATAGGCTCCTATTAGGCTCTTTTATTATCTTGTTGTCCATCCCAGTGTCCTCTTTCTTTCTTTCTTTCGTTTGTTTCTTTCTTTACTAGTGTTTGAACTCAGGCTTCACATGTGCCTAAGCACTCTACCACTTGAGCCATGCCCCAATTCATCCTGTTTCTTTCTCATATTTATCCTGTCTGAAACTTCCTGGGATTATATTGAAAAATAACTTATTTTTTTTGAAAAAAACCTTATTTTTCTTTGAAAGGAGTCATATGTAATCTATTCTTATCACCTGCCCTCCCACCCAATGAACATCAATTCACTGACCAGTAAGTGTTGAAGTTGCTCAAGGTCACCTCGCCATGAACTTTGTAGAAGCTGCATTTGGGGAGCCTGGATTCCACTGACTGCCAAAAGTTGTCTTTGGATATCACAGTTAGCTACATGGACTGCAGTTTGGTTGTTGTAATTGCAAAGGGTGATGTCAGCTCCCTTTTCCAGAAGCAATCCAACGACCTGCAACACAACAGCATTCTTGTATCGTATTTTAGAATACCAAATGTACCTTCAGAGCTGGATAGAAAAACCAACTTAGATGTGGCTCTGATTCATGATAAAGGGAAGAAGAGTGAAAGGGAAATAAAAATGCTCAGTGGCAGAGTGCTTACCTAGCATGTATAAGGCCCTCGATTTGATCCCCAGCACCATGCCCCCCAAAAAAGATTAATT